AGGCAAAAGCTTGCATGGTTGGTGATCAATGCATTGAGTAACAGTCCCATGTCCCTATCTCCATCTAGGACCAGCTTCCTTTCCTACTGACCAGGGTGGCCTGTTGGAGCAATCAATCATGTTTCCTGTCATCCTCTCATAGGACGGACTTGTACGAAAAAGCAGCTCCCCCTGACCTTGGCTCCTGTACTTACCCCGCCAGAAAAAAAGATGCAGAGTTTGACCCCATTGCAGGCCTCACGGCTGCTGCCTATCAAAAGCCAGCTGCAGAGCCCTCACCCCATCAAGGCCCAACAAGTGAGTGTGGGTGTTGCTTCATCCTGCCATGGGGGTCAGGTAGCTTCTTGGAAGAAGAGGATATTCTAATTCTATTTTCTAATGTTTTTCTCCCATTTTTCTTCATGACTTACAAAATGTCCTAGTTAGGGTTAGTTACTATTGCTGTGATGAAACACCACAACCAAACAACACAGAGAGGGAAGGGATTATTTGGCTTACACTTTCTTCATCAAAGGAAGTCAGGACAGGAACTCATAGGGCAGGAACGTCGAGGCAGAAGCTGAGGCCATGGAGAGGTGCTGCTTACTGGCTTGCCCGGGACCACCCACAGTGGACTGGGCCTTCCCACATTAATCACTAATTAAGAATCTACCCTACTGCAGCTGATGGAGGCATTCTCTCGTTTGAGGTTCCCAGCTCTCAGATGACACTAGCCTGTGTGATGTTGACATAAAACTAGCCAGCACACAAAGGTTGATAAGACTTATTCCAATTATGTATTGTTGGATTGTTTGGCAACAGGGCCTTACTGTATATCACAGTCTATATGACTGGGAAACCTCCTACCTCTATCTTTTTTTTCAGGACAGGGTTGGTTTCTCAGTGTAGCTTTGGTACCCGTCCTGGAACTAGCTCTTGTAGACCAGGTTAGTCTCAAACTACAAGAGATCTGCATGTCTCTGCCTCCCAAGCGCTGGGATCAAAGGCATGTGCCACCACTGCCCAGCCTACCTCTACCTCTTAATGTTCAGTAATCATCACATTCAACTTATGTAGATCTGATGATGGGGCCTGGGACCTATATATTCTAGGCAAATAGCCCCAGCCCCTCATGTTTTGTTTTGTTTTGAATACCAATAATTGGACATCCTTCCCAGCTCTTATGTATACTAAAAGAATATAAATTCCGATTTGTCTTCCAAAGGAGAGTGAGATAGGACTTCTGTTTCCTGTAGAAATTAGGCTAGACTTCCATTTTTAAACTCTGAGGTAGATGGAATTTTCTTGTTTTCAGTTTTTCATTGGCACACAGAGGGTCCACATCTGTAGTCATAGTGATTGGGAGGCTGAGCAGGAGGACCTCTGCAAATTCAAGGTCATGCTGGTGATGTAGCAGGACCCTGTCTCAAACAGACAGAAAAGAAAAACAAAAACAAAAGCAAAAATCCCACAAAACAAAAAACGAAAAATAAGAAAGAAAGAAAGAAAAAAGGAAGGGGGTTGAAGAAAAGAAAAGGAAACTCAACTAGTTTCCTTTAAAATTTATTTATTTTCATTTTTATCTATGTATTTGACCTGCTTGTTATGTCTATGCACCACAAACATGCAGTGCCCTCAGAGGCCAGAAGAGGGCGTCATATCCCTCAGAACTGGAATTACAGCCAGTTGTGAGCTGCCACAGAGATACAGGAATTAAACCCAGGTCCTCTGCAAAAGCAATAAGCCATCTCTCTAGGTCCTCAGCTAGCTTCTGAAAGGTTAGTTGGGCATGCCACTTTGTACCCAGGGTAACCCCTGAAGTCACCTCCTACCTGCCTCTCTTCTAGGTCATCAGCCCCAGTCCATCTCTCTGTTCAGGTGGCAGCCCATGGACTGTTCGGGCAGCCACCCAGGTATGACAAAAACTCTCCATGCAGTGTTCCGAACAGGGTGCAACTTTACGCTTTGGCCCGGTGGCATGGGGCCTACTATGACTGAGGATTGGACCCTCAGGGTGGGACATCCGGTCTCCCTCTTGTCTCTGAAGACTCAACCTATAGTTTTGCATCTAAGGACATCGATGTGACTCTGGGGTAGGAGAGCCAACTACAGATGGGCAAATGTGGTTGGCACAAACTGTTTCTCTCCAAGCTGGAAGGGGAGTCTGGCACAGCTTCTCAAAGGTCTGCCACCTTCTCCTGAGCCCTCCAGAGACATGAGATCTTGCATGTATCCCATCTCCCACTTCCTCCCCCATCTCTTGATTTCCTTTTTGTTTTGCTTTGTTTGACCTGGGGTCTCATGTAGCCCAGGCCAGCTTCAGACTTGTTAGCCCAAACTGGCCCTGAACCCATGACTCTTCTGCCCCAGTCCCCCAAGTGCTGGGATTGCAGGCATGGGCCACCTCGCACACCTTCCTTTGTTTTGTTTTTGTTTTTTAATAAAGGATCTCAACACAGACCTGGTTGGCCTCACACTTTGCAGTCTTCCTGCTTCAGCTTCCTGGGTGCTGAGTACTGGGTAGTACCCTGGGTTCTACCATGGCTTCTCTGCATCTTCTATCTCTAAATTTCTCTATGGCTGTACTAGTGTTTAGACATCATTCAGTCTCTGCATTCAAACCTGTGAGGCCTGTGGATTGGCCTCTGTCAACCCCTGTGACATCTCCCAAGAGTACTCCTCCACAGGCCTCTGCCAATCATACTTCCCCGCCTCTCCAGCTCTTTGTCCCTAGAGTTCGCTCTACCTGGACACTTCTCTTTCCCATGTCATTGATTTATCAACGGTTGAAGTAGCCATCACCACCCCAGAAGGAACCTTCCCCTTCTTTGCACATGAGTGAAGTCCCACAGTCCCCAGCTTCCCTCTGGTCCTGTAAGTGTACAATGACAGATGTCAGTAAGTTTCCCTCTCTGAACGGAGAGCTTCGTGGGACATATACCACACCATTATCTTAGCAGAAAAAGAGACTGGCACACAGCAGGCACTCAATAAATACCTGTAGACCGATGAAAAGTTCTCATGCCTGTGAAGAGCTGCTGCCATTGCACACACATATCCTTGGCAAGATATGTCTTCCCTTTTCAACAAGAACTCTCATGGGAAATTTAGAGTACAGCAAGCAGCAACACATACAGTCAGGTATCACACTCCAGCTTAATACAAACACTTGGGAGCTTGAGATAAGAAGAGCACATGCTCAAGGCCAGAATTTCATAGGGAGGTCTTGTCTCAAAACACCAAGGACTTGGGATGAGGCCCCCATAGTAGAGTAGAATCCCTCAGTGAGGGACTGGGGCATGGCTCAGTGGTAGAGCCCCTGCCTAGAATCCCCCAGTGAGGGGCTGGGGCATGGCTCAGTGGTAGAGCCTCTGCCTAGACTCCCCCAGTGAGGACTGAATACTGGGTTCAATACAAAAGGGGAGAAAAATCAAGATTTTGTATCTTTTTTAATCACTGCAAACAGAAAGCTTCATACAAGTGAGCTTATACAAATGTGGGTTTTATTGCTTGTGTGTGGGAGAGTGGGCTTCAGATAGGTTTTGATTCAGCTGCCCTACCACTTCCTCATAACCTCTATAACCCTTCCCTCCACATAATAAAGCTACACTGCCTGCCCAGGCTAGGAGACTGAGCCCCCATGGCCAGCAGAAGATCCCCCCTTCCTGGAGACAATTCACTGGGTTGTTGAGCAGTTTAAGCCAATTGGAGTTCACCTCCATAAAGGGCAGAGGTAGGAACGGCCCTGGGGATTCTCTACCAAATGCCACATCTCCTTTGCCATCCACTTGCCCAAATCCTCAATGACATTGACTTCCACAGGCAGGGACTTTGGAAAAAGGCGTTTATTGGTGTGGTGGTCTCAACACTCCCCATGAATTGGAACACACGGCTCCCAGGGCCCCCCTCCCACCTCCCCTTGTGTCCCTCCCCCTCCCCACCCTTCCCTGGGCCCTGGGAATGGAAGACAATGTGGGATGGGGCCCACGCCCCCGTCTGAGGTACAGTCACTGCCCCTTGACTCCCTGCCTCTCTCTGCCCTCATCTTCACCAGGCTCTGAGTGGTATGGTTTGGGGTGTGTGGTTTCTACGTTAGGGCTGGTGACATAGTGCCTCTGCCTGGGTTCAGGATGTCTGTGTGTCTTCTCTCTCCAACTCTGTGACACCAGGTGTATCAGGCTGGGTGTTCCCACACACAGAGCCTGGCAGCTTCCTTTGTGGATAATAGTGGCCTACTCTGAGGGAATTACAGGTAGTCACAGACTCTGGGGCAGCTGAAGCCAGGAGCTATTGCTGGTCAATCGCTGGTGTGTGTGTGTGTGTGTGTGTGTGTGTGTGTGTGTGTGTATGTGTGGTCACAGCAGCCTTTGGAGGTACTATGGGTTGAGAGGTGAAGGAGCAGGTGGCCAGGGAGCCCATGCTTATGGGTCAGCTGCAGGGCAGCTGGAGGGTGCCACTGTGGCCAAGGGGAGGGGGGGGGTCTGGGTGGGGCAAAGCACTGAGACAGACAGGTGACAAGTGCCACTAGTCTATCAGTTGAATGGAAGCACCGATTGGCCCAGGAAGGGGGCCAGAAAGTTCAGGGTGGGGAAAGGGTAGGCCAGGGAAGGTTTCAAGCCACTGAGCCAGTGATAGGGCCTCTGGCTGCAGGCAACTGGTGATAGAGCAGGGAGAAAAAAAGCCATAATGAAGATCCCCACCTATTCACAAAGGCTGAGTGACACCTGACACCCACCCGACCTGCCCCTTCAATAGGGAGGAGAGGGGTAGATGCTCGTGCATATATGGGAAGGTGGAGAGCTGGCAATCTCCTTGTCAAAGCTTCCACCATGAAGCCCCCCACACCTACCTCCAGCCAGAGGAAGAGAGGCAGAAAGAGTGAGCAGGGGCCATGGGAGAGTCAGTTCCAGGGAGGGAGGCCTCCTGGTTTCCTCCCCCAGCACACCTTCACACACATACACACATATACAACATGCAGACTCACACTCATACACATGCCCGTGCACACACACGCTCACGCGCGCGCGCGCACACACACACACACACACACACACACACACACACACGAGCCAGTTGACAGCCTGAGCTAAGAGAGGGGTGTGGAGTGGCTGGGGGTGGTGGGTCACAATTGGAAACGTGAACGGGTGGCGAGAATGGCTGTAGAAAGATGCATAATTTTGCGTTATCCCTCACAGTGATGGGTTCTCTAAAAGACCTTCCTCCTCCTCCTCCTCTTCTTTCTTCCTCTGTGGCTGAGAGCTCTTCTGTTCCCTTGAGACCCACGGGCGCTCGCTCACCCCCCTTTTCTTGCTCCTGGCCCGAGGCCCCCTGCAGGGGGGAGGTGCGCTCTACTGGGTGACATCTATATTCTCCACCACAGCCAGCCCAGGGCGGAGAGGAGGGTCAGGGGCCCCGGTGGCCTCGGAGCTGAGTTCTCCAGGGATCCTGGGCCTGGCAAAAGAGAGATGGTCACCAAGGGAGGCTGAGAGGGGGAGGCCCTGCAGGTCTCTCCTAGGTGCTCCCTCTCCCTGCAGCCTCCCAGGCTTGCTGTGATCAGAACTCGCTAGGGTCTGGGTTCCCTATGCCTGCCTCTTCTGTAAATGCTCTGGGTCTCAATATACCCTCAGATTTTCCCTATTCCCTTTTTATTTGTTAGTCTGGATTCTTGGGATTTGATTTTCTCTGTTAAAAATTCTGTCAACATTCCTAGCAGTCACCTTCTTCGCCTACCAGAAACTTCAGCAATGCCTATGTTTGTTTCTTTGGCTGTTGGCGACTTTAAATTTTTTTTTTTTAAATCACTGTTTTGCTGAGAGTGGAATGTACTGATTCATACATATAAGGAAAATGCTCTAAGCCACCCTGAGCCCCTCCCTGGGGGATTCTAGGCAAATGTTAAATGATATCCGAAACCTCTCTTTACTTTCTGTCTCACAACAGTCTCACTACGTAGGTTAGGCTCCACCTGAACTTTCCTTTGCTAACACCCTGCAATACATGTCCCTGGTGCAGTCACTTTTGACACAGCTGCTCTCTTTACTCAGACTTCTGCACCCAGCCAGTAACAGTCTGCAGGCTCCTGCAGCAGTAAAAGTGTTTGCCAGCCACAGCCTGCAGTGTAGTAAGTCCAACACCTCTATCATTGCTGGGAGGCTCAGCTCTCTCTAAGAGCAGCTAAAGGCTGCTCCTTCTCACACTACCGGCCTCCCTGTTGTCTTTGCAAGGGCAGCTCCCGCTACCTGCTGACTTGCACGGGGAGGGGGAGGGGGGGCTTTCCCCAGCAGTCTTATCTCAGACCTACCACCCCAAACCCTGACTGTTTTTGTACATGCCCCCTTTTCTTTGATATGCATCTATCAGCCCATTTGTTTATTGTTTTTTTCTGCTAGGCCCTGCCAGTCCCGAGACCTTGAACTCACTATGAAATTTCCTGCCTTCTCTTCCTGGATGCTGGGATTACAGGTAAGCACCACCACGCTGGCTTTAAATAGTGATGGGGTTCGTATCTTGAACTTCGTGTATGCCAGGCAAGCATCCTACCACCTGAGAATCGGTTTCTTTATTCCGTGGCACGGCTGGGGTTTCCTAAATTCTGGGCCAGTGGCAATCCCTGTATCTCCACCGTCTTGTCCCACCCACTGACGTCTGTGCCCCACAGGTGCTCATCCCCCACAGCCCTGTCTCCCCCACCCCAGCCCCCGCCAGCCGCCCAGCAAGACGCACGCAGGAGCCGCATGGAGGCGCTGGATGCTCCAAGTCGGTTGGCTGCTCGACAGGTGTAGTTGCCATAGTGCCTAGCGCTCACGTTGGCGAAGAGAAGCATGGAGCGGGTGCGCTCGGTCTGCACTTTGAGACCCTCCGCCGAGCCGCTGCTTAGCCTGTGGGGATCCGGGTCAGGGTTGGTCTTGGCTTCCCTTGGGGTTCAGTACACAAACACCCAGGCTCTTCTCTTCCTCCATGAGACCCAGAACTCTTCTATATACTCCCAAGGACCCAAGGCTCCCCTGTGGATCCCCTCTCAACGAGCCAGGCCACTTCAGTACATTCCCAGCATGCATCCCTAATCGCCAGTCTCTTAAACTCAGCCCTGGTGGTCTCTTTAAATCTGTCTTCCACACACTGAGCATCCACCCTCGCTTGACTCCAGACCTTAGCAGGCAGGGTGGGGTGGGGGTCAATTCCAGCATTCACTAGACTGGTGCTGGAAGTAGTCTTTCCTCCAGGAGCCCACAGACTCTATAACCTAGAAATTGGACCCTAGACTCTTCAGGACCAAGGACTTCACACCTTTGCTTTGCCAGGTTCTCCACCCTGGTTCTATGATCCCAGACCTAGGACCTTCCTCCCCTTCCCCTCCCTCTTCCCTCAGCCTTGCCCAGTGCAGTCCTCACAGCCTGTCATCCTTGTACCACTGGAAATCTGCAGGCGGCACCGCCATAGCTTCGCAGCGGAGAAGGGCGGCCCGGCCCAGGGCTGTGCGCGCACTGGTAACGTCAGTGATGGTCGGGGGATCTTTAGAGGGATAGGGGACAGAGGCATAGTCTTGCTACATGGAATTTCAGCACCCTCCCCTTTCAGATCCGAATTCCCACCTAGCTTCCAGCTTCATGCGGCAGACCCCTCCTCCCCAGGCAGCCAGGGTTGGCCCGTGTGCCCACTTGATGCTCACAATTCACTGTAACCAGCACACGACGGCTGTCGGGCGCAGAGTTCACCCCGTTGTGAGTAATGCATTCATATTCCCCCGCCTGGCCCCGCTGGATGTCGGAGATTTCCAGAATCTCGCCCTCTGAGGTGAAGCCGTCTGTGGGGGAGGCGGGGAAGGGGGTGCGGGGCCGGACACAAACACTTAACACGGGACAACACGGGCACAACACGGACAAACATCAGCAGGGCACAGCAGGGCCTGAAGTGCCCCGGTCAGTAGGAGCCGGGAAGGTACTGTGGGGGTAGGGTGGGGCTGAGGGAGGGGCTGGGGAGCTCAGAACCCAGTGGGAAGGGGCCTAGGATTTCAGGTACAAAAGATCTAGGAATCTGGAAACTCTTATGTCATGCTCAGGGGACCCACTTGGGAGTAGGGAGTGAAGCCAGGCTTTTGGTTTTCAGGTATTCAGACTGTGAGGGAGGGTCCAGAATTCTCTCTGGGTTCAGGGAATTGGGACCTGCTTATTGAGATTGGTGATCCAGATACTTGTGACCCGAGGTCACAAACGACCATTTAGAACTTATGACAAGTAGGATCTAGGGTTCAGGAGACACCAAACAAGGGTCAGGATGAAGGGACATGAGGCTAAATTGGCTTTCTTGCTCTCAAGGCATCTAAGGAATGGGATCCAGTGATGAATGCTATTGTAGGTCTGCAAAGACGAAGGAAAAGCCAGAGACTAGCCATTTGGGGATGGAGAGAAAGTGGTGTTGTTGCCCTGGCCTGATATGTCAGGCAGCTTGGCAGCACCTTCAGAGAAACTGGATTTCAGGACTCAAAGCAGGTTGTGGGTAGGAGAGGGGAGCTCCTGGTTGCCTCTGGATCTATAGCAGGGCCCTAAGAATGTGCATTTCAGGAAAATTCCCAGGAGTTGCTGATGCTGAGGTCTGTGGACCACTCAGACCACTAGGCTACAACATCCAGCAGAGGAGAGGAGGGGACTGCCAGCCGATAGAATGTCTGGACACTGGATGCAGCCTAGCTTGGGCCCTGAGTCAGGACAGCCTGTCAGGTAGAAGGAAGCTGGGGTGGGGAGTGTCAGGTGACCCGGAGACAAAAGCCCAGCCTAGACATCAGGGGGTGCGAGTCTGATAAGAAATGGGGATCAGAGTGGGCAGGAATAGAGTCACCAGAAGGGCTAGAGGGGTTCAGAGTGAGGGCGTCTGGGACCCCAGCTAGGGATAAGGGAGGGTAGAGGGGCCCAGATTACAGCCAGGGGGAGGATCCTCACCTCGGAGCTGTCTCCAGGTGACAGTGGGCTCTGGCCTTCCCACAGCCAAGCAGAGAAGGTTCACATTGCCCCCTTCATTCACTGCCACAGGTGAGGAGATGTTCACGATGCGGGCAGGGACTGGAGACAGAGGGGAGACTTGGGGTGAGTGTGCATTCCCAGCCACCCAGCTTACCTCCCTTAGACTCAGGGATGTGGGCTCAGACCCTCCTCACTCAGACCCATGGGTGTAGACTCCACACTACAGCTTTCAGCCCTCCTCCCTCAGACCCCGGGGCCCAGATATCAGCCCTCCTTCATATCCAGGAGTCACACTCACACTCAATCGTATTTCCTCAGACCCTGCGGTGCAGACTCCAGGCAGGTCTCCCCCCTTCCCACCACACCCAGGAGGCCAGACCACAATCCTGTCTCATCAGATCGAGGCCTCCAGACTTCAGCCTCCTCACTCACACCCACGGGTGCACTCGCTAACCCTCCCCCGAGCCTCTCCTTGGGAAATAAGTGCAAATAGGAAGAGACAGACAGGCGTTTCCTCGGCACCCAGAAGAGTCCTCACTCGAGGGTAGTCTCATGTTCCACTCACTTGTATCCCAGGCTAGTGACCAGCAGTGGACCCAGTGCACACAGTACAGGCTGATCAGTGGTGTCTCCCCGCCCCGACCATACTGCAGGCCTGGCCCCTCCCCACTTGTTCCCATGTGCACACAGGGCTCACCATGGACGATGAGGTAGACCTGAGTGGTATAGGGCTGGTGGCGGGTCTGGAAGGAGCAGGTGTAGAGGCCCTCATCACCAAGCCCCACCTGGGTGATAAGGATGGAGAACTCCTCAGGTGTATTGATGAGCAGCCGCACCCGGGGGTCACTGGTCCAGCGGTCGTTTCCTGCATACAGGATGTTGGAGCGGTTCAACCAGGCCACTCGGGTCACGTGCTCATCGATGAAGCAGCTGGGGAGGAAGAGGAGGATGAGGCGAGAAGGCAAGGGTTTCCCCATTTATTGCTACTATACCTGCAGGACCCTGGGCGCAGACCTGGCGGTGCCCACTGTACAGGAGGGTAAACCAAGCCTCAGAGATGGAAGAGGCCTGGAAGCCAGACTCCTGAGGAAGTGCTGTGTATTAAAGAGGGAGGGAGGGAGGGAGGGAAAGACTGACTGAGAGGTGGGAAAAGGGAGGGAGGGGATAGAGACCCTGAGAGAAATAACAGAGCAAGTGGGGAGAGATGGAGACAGAAAACAAGAAAGATGGGACAGAGACCCCGAAAAATGGAGACGGGGTGTAGAGAGAGAGAGAGGAAGAGAGAGACAGAGAGGAGAGAAGAGTCAGGGAGGGGAGACATCGAGGTAGAGACATAATTTCAGAGAGAAACAGATGCGAGAACAAGGGACAGTGACCCAGGGGGAGAGCCCCTAGTGAGAAGACAGGGCCCCAGAGACCGATAGCCCTCACGTAGCCAGCATCCCTGGCCCTCGTGGTCTACAGGCTTTTGAATCATAGTAGTTCCATCTCTTCACTTTTACGAGGACACTAAGGTCCAGAGGGGAGGGATGTACCTGAGGGTGGCGTTGTCACCTTCACACACTGTGTAGTTGTCTGCAGGTGAGCTGAACTCCACACTCTGGGATAGCAACCCTGCAGAAGGGAGGGGATTGCTCAGCCTTGGCAGCTGGGGAGAGGCCAGCTGTGACAAACAGTCTGTTCATGGACACAAACACGTGTGCATGGCTTTGGTTACACCGGCACCTGCATCCACTGCTACAAGAATTTATTGTTTTCAGAAATTCACACACAGTGGACATACTTAGAGTAGGCCAATATGCCATGTCCCTTCCTCTGGGTCTGCTCTGACCCATAAACAGAATGGAACTCTTGCGGGACAGTGCACTGACAGAGACGACACCCAATCACAGCCCATACACACAGACAGATGTGCATGCACAGAGACACCTGTGCACCCAGACACATGTATGCACACATCAAACAGTGGCACAGACAAACAGACATGTCTAAGCACTCAGCTACAGAGCACATACACATGCAAAGCAAATCACCCATAGCCGCATTAGCACGCAGACTCCCAGTTACATAACATGAGCGCTGTTCACTGGGCACGACAAGCTTCTGTCTTGACAGCAGAGCACCACAGGAGATGTTTGCAGGATTGGAGTAAGCAGTATTCCCTTGTGGGAATGGCACTTTCTAGGCCCCGGAGGCAGTACAAGAACTGGCCATGCCAGTTCAAGAGGTGCACATAAGACGGGCCACAGGAGGAGCCTCATTAACTTCGCCAGGAGTGTGTGTGGTGGGGGCAACTCTTCTTTGATGGTGTAGTTGCCTGCATGTTGCCCCGTGCCTGTGAGTCACCGTCACCCACACCCCTGTGAGTAACCCCATTAGAACTCATTGGTCCACTAAGCTAGATTTGAACTTCAGAACGTTCTCTCAAATATTGTTTGGGCCCTGTCTGGGGTTTGCTGTTGCTTTGGTTATTTGTATGTATGTGAGGTGTGCGCATGTACATAGGGGCGCCCTTGGAGAGGGCGGCGTCTGAGCCCTTGGAGTTACAGGCAACTGTACGCTGTCCGATATGGGTGCTGGGCACTGACTCGTGTCCTCTGCAGCAGCAGCAACTGCCTTCACTATTGAGCTGTCTCCCCAGCCCCATGGACAGACGTTTATTCAAGTCTTCTCAGGTCATAGATATAATAAACACGTATGTAGGTGTGCTCACATACAGACACAGGTATGTTTATACATACAAGTGCTCAGGACTCACATGCACAAGGAGGGAGCTATCACAGATATTAAACATGGGCTTGTATTGGATGTCCTGTGCGGTTAAACACAAATCTCTCTCTCTCTCTCTCTCTCTCCCCTCCCTCCCTCCCTCTCCCCACCCCCCTCTCACACACACAGCATGTCAGTGCTATAATGCACACACAGGCCAGCTTGCAGGCACCAGTGTGGCCTGGTCATACTTCCATTCAAGCCTATCAAGTGGATGGGGCCGGCAGGCTGGACCAGGGCCAGAGAGCGGGGGTTGGGTAAGTGGGGGTGAAGGAGACTGCCCTGAGAGGCGGTCTGGCTGGGATGACCTTGGATGATTGGATCAGCAGGCCCCTGAGAGGGCTGCCCTGCCCCCAGCCTGGGAAAAGGAGCTAATTAATCTAATGAATTAATTGCCCATGGTATCCCAATGACTCCCTGGGGGCTCTCAATCAACATCCCCTCAGGATGGGGCTAGGAAAGAACCAATGTAGCAGGCTGCCTAGGCCTGGGGTTTGGGTCTGAGCCCAATGCCTCTCAGCCTGGGGTTATTGAAAAGCCCATGCAGGGGACTTCATCACATGTGTTCAGGTAACAATGGGATGTGTACACATATACGCACTCCACCAGGGCCCAGGAAAAACATAAAGCCAAGGCTAAGCCCTGTCACACACATGGCCCAGGTCAGAGGGACACCACAGTCCCAGACACATGCCTGGTAGAAGGTCATTTGTAGAAATCGGGTGTTTTCCAGAAGCAGGCACACTAAGACACCAAAGGCCAAACAGTCACCGGCTGTCCCCTCATGTTCCACTGACAACAGCCTTGTACCTCATCCACAGCTGCAAAGCCCACTCAGCCAGAGTTCAGGCACACACATCACTGCCAGCCTGGGCAGGCATTCCCCTCACCCACTTTGGAAGGCTCTGGGTCCCACCTGCCCAAAGCTACACTTGTCCAAGGGGACAGACCACCACCCTGTCATAACCCTTCCAACACACAGGGGCTACCCTGTCTAATAATTTGTAATTCTTAGACAGCAAATCATGCTGTCACCTCTGACAGGTCACACATGGCTGAGCATAAGTCACAGATCAAAATATGCATCCAGACCAAAGGAAGCAAGGGAATGTGGCAATGGGTTCAGGAACAAACACAGCCGTGCACGGCTCCGATATCCCTTCATAAGCTGGCCAACAAGAAACACTGCAGGAGACTCTTAGTGTCCTAGCCCTAGACAGGTCCCTCAACCTTGGTCCTTTGAGGGCTAGAGTTTCCTGGGCATTGTGGGTACCTAGATTCCCCCACCCTACAGCAGTGACAACACAGGACACCCCCCCCCCCCAGATACTGCTGGAAGTCCCCTGTGGGTAGATCACACTCCACTCTCCCAGGGCTCTGAAGAGAAGACCATAGGTGGGAACCGGTGAGCTGTCTAAGGTGAGTGCCTTTAGAGCTGGCAGGCCCAGCCCACTCACACTGGCTCGGGGTGCAAATGGGGCCCTGAGGTAGAGTAAGGCCCACACTACAGGCATACTCTCAGCCACAGGTTCTCCAGACAGAGGGGCCAGCACAGAGGCACCCCTTACCACAGGACTCTTCCCAATCCTGGCACACTGCCACTTCTGAAATCCCTGTGACGAAGGCTCACCTGTCAAGACCCAGTGACCCCCTCCTCCTCCAGCCCCCTGGCTTGGGTGTACTCCAGATGTGCCCCTCTCTGCTAAACGCTCAAATGCCTTCTTCTCCAGTGGCTCAGGTGAACTCCAGCCTCTGTGTTCAGGTCACATGACCTTGAATCAGGGTGGTCTTGTGTTGGACAGTCCTAGGAGACCTGTGATACGTGTCCCAGTTTCTCAATGGGCTTTTAGCTCCTTGCCTGTGAATGATGGACACCATAGACCTTCATATATACATATTTTTAAAACACCCAGATCCTGTGCTTCATTCAAAGAGTGTAGAGATCCTCAGGCAGGCATTCATTTACCCAAAGGCAATCTTTTTTTAAGCTTCATTTTATCTTCATTTGTGTGTGTGCGTGTTTGTTTCGTTTTTGTTTTTGAGACAGGGTCACTCTACATAGTCCTGGTTCTCCCAGAGTTCACTATGTAGAGCAGGACAGTTTGAATTTACAGAGATCTGCTGCCTCTGCCTCTGGAGTGCTGGGATTAAAGGCGTGCGCCACCACACCTGGCCCAAAGACAACCTTCAAACACTGCTGGACCCGAATCCTCTCCGTATTGCCTAAGCTTCTCGATTGTGGCCATGTATGGGACTCCGCCGGGGCTATAGCATGATCCAGTGTAGTGCCTGGCCCACAGCATGCCCCCAAAAGATGTTTAATGTATCAGTGTGGGAACCCTGCTAGAACACTCCCAGACTCCACCAAGTCTGGACTTCCAAAGAGCCTGGGCATCTTCATTATAACTAAATCACACACGATGCTGTCTCCCCTGAAGAGCCTCATTGTGACTCAGATTTGTGTCCCTAGTGTCATCCAGCTCCCACCGGAGTCCTCTTGGAAATAGTTGTTGGCTGAATAAATATGAATGGATGCCTGTGACTCTTGAACTCCTTTTCATTCCTCAAGACTCCAACATAAATACCCCATTCAGGAAGAACTCTGTGACTGCTCAGGGAAGAGCCCCCACGCCCTGTTCTAGGTGGCCAGTTTAGATGTACATAGCACCTCCCCCCACCTGACCTGGATTTCTAGGTGGTGTGATTAAAAAAGAGCCATTTACTTGTACTTCAAGTGTACACATGTGTGTCTGTGCCAGTTTACATGTACCATGTGCTTGCAGAAGCATCCACGACCAGATGAAGGTGTTAGGTTTCCTGGAGGTAGCTGTGGGCTGCCATATGGGTGCTGGGAGCCAGAGCCATGTCATCTAAGAGGAGCAAGTGCTCTTACCCTCTGAGCCATCTCTTCAGTCCCACATGCTGTGATTCTTAGTTTTTGTCTGTGTGACCCAGGACTCTGTTTCGTTTAATTCAGGGAGGGGGTCTGTGGAGAGGAAGTATATGGATCTAAAGACGTAACAGATCTCAAAGAAGCCCAGTGTCTACCCTTCCTTGTCTTGACTACACATCCCCATGGGTTGAGCCTCAGTTTCTCCATCTGGAGAAAACAAAGAATAAGAATTCAGTGCGTTTTTTCTGAGTGCTGCCTTGACAGGACATAAGCAAATGGTATGCTTAGTTCAGCACCTGACGCGTAAACTAGCCTGAAGCGTGCTGGCTGCGTCCAACACACACGTTCTTTTTTTAAAAGAATTGCATGCTCTTCCCACTGGCTTGGCGTCAGCCTCCGCTGGCTGTGGTAAGGAAAGGACTGTCTGGTCAGCTGATAGTTTTGAGTTCTGCCACTCCTGCCAATCTATGTTCTGGCAATCCTGCCTCAGCTTGCCCTGGGAGAAAAAGGCAGAGTCCTAGGATCAAGGCTTACCTCTCTCCAGCAGGTACAAAAGTCCCTTCCTTTCTCTGGGGCTCAGTTTCCCCACTGGCAAATGGAAATGATGACTGGCCTCCCTCTTTAACTAGAGACAGGGTAGATTAGAAAGATACTGTGAAAGTCAGGCTTGGTGGCTCATGTCTGTAATCCCAGCGCTTGGAAAGTGAGGCAGGAAGATGGCCCCAAATTTGAGGCCAGCTTGACTACAGAGTTCCAAACTAGCTTGGACTACAGGGTGAGTTTTAGGCCAGTTTGAAATACATAGTGAAACTGGGGTTATATGTAATTGTGTGTGTGTGTGTGTGTGTGTGTGTGTGTGTGTGTGTGTGTGTGTTATACACATTAAACAAGCTGAGAAAGAGAGCTTAGGGATTTAAAGGGAGGTATCCTGTGGGGACAGGGTTCTCCTAAATCCCTGCTCTTACGAGATTTCCAGTCTAGACTAACAGAATAAATCAATAAACAGAGGTCACAGTCAAGGCAGGAAGAGATTCCTGACAAGCTTAGGGACCCTGGATGAACCTCAGGCAAAGCTGGGGCCCGTGTGTGAGGGCTGAGGCTGGAATGCTGTGTGTGAGGACTGAGGCTGGAATGCTATGGTCCCACCCTCCTACTGTTATTGGCAGCTAGGGACCTGCGGCATGGTGCTCCTGTAGGCTGCAGACAAGGGCTGCCCGGGGATAATCCCTGACCTGACAGACACCTGGAAGGCCACCTCTCTGCTCCACTCGGAAGCCTGGGGCGCTGCACATAAGACACCCTTTCCTGGGGGTCTTTGCACCCACTGCTTTTCTTGGGACCTGGAAAACCAAGGCTGGCTTCTCTTTTCCTTCAGGCCTGAACTCCCTTCTCACCTTCCTAGGGGTGGCTTCCTGGACCACCTTCCTCTAAAACGGACAACTCGCCATCCTCCAGGGCACGTCAAGCCTCTTCCCATTGCGTGACACTCTCTGAGATGACCTGTCTACTTGCTTGTTAGATTTTATTTGTCCAGCTGAATTCTTGATCGCTCTTCTCTCCACGATAAGCTCCGTGAGGGACTGCTTGGTGTGGCTTGCTCCCTGCTCCCAGCCCTCACCACACACAGCACATTTCTCAGGTGCCTCAAATGGCAGAGCACTGCTAAGTCACTGAAGCAGGTGTGGGGGACAACTGCTGCAAACATGGGACCATTCTGGGCTATTCACAAGGTGAGACAGCATGTGACTCTGTGTTCCAGACCAGCTTGGGCTGCCAAGTCTTCTAACTTGAGTTAAGATCCCTAGGCCCCCATGGTGGAAGTGGAGAACTGACCCCCACAAGTTGTCCTTTGACCCCCACTACACAACTAAGTCAATGTATCATACAGCTTGTAACATTACGAAAAAGAAAAAAGGATCAAGTTAGAGTCTGGCACAGGGTGCAAGGGCCATTGGAATGGTCAGCAGTGGCACTGAGCCTCATTCCTGGCTGTTCCAGCTGCCAGGAGCAAAAGGTGCCCCCTCCCCCCACCAACTCACTCATTCTGTTGGATTTTTGGCGCAGTTAGTTTTGAGACAGGGTCTCAGACAGCTCAGTAGCAAAGGCTGACCTTGAACCTCTGATCTTCTTGCCTCTGCCACCCAAATGCAGGGGATACAGGTGGACACCAGCTCATATTGCTCTGAGAATCCAACCCAGGACCTCCTGCATGCTAACCAAGCACTCTACCAACTGAGCCACATCCCCAGCCAGCATAGCCTTATTCTGTAAATGGATATGTAAGTATGTGGATGGAATTGGTATAAAGGATTTTGGGGAGGGGATTAATTGTAGGCTCATAGTTAACATAATCGGGGAGATTTTCCTAAGTGTAAATAAACCAACAACAGGGGCATGGGCTGACTTTATCTCTGTTTTAGGAAGAAAACACTAGCAAGAACCAACAGGGTCTCTGCGCTGCATTGAAAGGCTGTGTGGGATGAATCTGTGAAAGGGAAAGACGGGGGGGGGGGGGGGGGGGGCAAGCCCTCCACTGCCTGCCCTCTGCTGCTTGGGGCCTGACTGTTGGCTTCCCTCAGGTGTGTGTGAGACCTGGGTGTGGTAGGAAGAAGAGGCAGGATTGCCTTCAGTTCAAGTCTACATATTCCAGGCCAACTATGGCTACATATTAAGATCCTGTCACAAAAAAAACAAACACACAAACAAAGCAAAAACAAAAAAATGGTGGGAGAAGGGGGCAGCCCATGCCTATAATCACAGCACGTGAAAGGCCGAGACAGGAAGATCACCTTGAATTCAGGGCCATCTTGACTACATAGTGAGACTCTGACTAGAAAAACACATGGCTGTATGTGAGGACGATGGGGTCAAGGGCTTGGCTCTTACACACTCCTCATGAAAGCATGCATAAAAGAGGAGGCACTAATTTGCATACTGCATAAAATAAGGTATGCCCCACCCCAAAGTAGCAGCGGGATATGAATGGGGCACCTGCCAACAGGTAGATTTATCTTGGTTCAACCCACTGGGTCCGATCTTCTCTCTCAGGTTTTCCTTGATCAAGGTCATATGCCAGAGAAACCCCCCCAGCCCCCACCACCCCCAGGGGAGGACCCCAGGAGACTCGCATAGTAATGATTTATTTCTAACAGGCAAACTGGCAAATGGGACAGTAGCTTAAGAAGAGTTGGGTGGAGGTCAGGGTCAAGGAGGTGGAGTGAAGGGAGGAAGGGTACGGTAAGGGTGAGGGACTCAAACACAGGGGCAGATGGAGGTCAGTCTGAGAGGCGATGTGTCTGTCTGCCACAGTGCTGAAACCAGCAGGGATGAAGTGACAGCCCAGGGAGACTGGGAGTGTCACCAGCAAATATCTGAGGCTGGTGAACGGGGTGTGTGTGTGTTCTTAAATAAGCCAGAAAGAAACCAAAACCTAAAGTGACAGGGGACAAAGGCACCCACGCTTGGTCAGCAAGTAAGGCAGTGCTCAGTCTTGCATTGTGGTAAGAGGTGGACTTTCCATTCCTGGAAGATTCCATGCCCTCCCCCAGTGGATCTGTGTGTGGGTGTCCTGCGTGGACAGGGTTGTTTATGTGACTGTAGTCTGCAGGTGTGGTTTGGCTGGATGACGGGATGTTTCTGTGACTATGAGTGACTTGATTGGAGACCCAGAGTAGCTGCTTCCCTTGGGGCTGCTGGGGTCACAATGCTGTATCCCTGATGGCTTAACATGTTCCTGGTTCTGTGATGTTTGATTGGATGGGGCCTGGAGGAAGTGATGGGGAAATGCCAAATTAACACTTTCTTGGCTTCCTGGGTACCAACAGCTCAGTCTTCTGCCCCATCCCTCTCCCCCCTGTGCCCTCTGGCCCTTTCCTTGATCACACTCTCATTGACAGGCCCTGCAGGGAAGGCAGTCCAGACTCACACCTGCTGTTACAGAGGGTCTCCAGGCCCCCTGGATTGCTTGAGACCCCTGCGACCCTGCATTAGCTCTTCCTGACCTACCTTCTCCAGGCCACCTTCACACCTTCCCCTGTCCATCTCTTCATTCGAATTGTCATCAGAATCCTTAGCCCAGCACCCCTACTTCTTTGCTTTCCAAGACCGTCTCCCAGTTAACACCCCAAACGCCAACACTTTCAGCTGAGAGGAGTTTCAGCCCCTTGCCTGATTTCCCTGGGTCTGCGATTCCAGTCTGTTGACACTCTGTCCCCATTGCTTGCTGACCCTCGCCTAAAGACGCAGAGCCCTGTCCCCAGGCAAGGACTGCGCAGGGGACCCTCTCCAAAACCGCAAAGACAAGATCCCTCCACACACAGGGCATCATTCCAGCTTGGTACCCCAACTCAGTTTGGAGGTTCTGCCCATGTGGGGACTGTTACCCCAACGTCTGAGCCCCTCCCCGACCTAGAGCAGTACATTCCTGCCACCTCAGGCTTGCAGCAGGGGACCCTCTTGCTAGTGGTGGGGCAGCTGACCAGATGGGGACATGCACACCTGAACCCCGGCGCATCCATGCACCCAAGGACCCCCTGCCCATCCAAGGACTGCCACCGGGTCCCCGGCTCCAGACATCCGCATACCCCCTCCCTCAAGGGGTACCTCCCTGCCCGCCTCCGCCCTGGCCCTGTACCCCCTCCCGGGACCCCGGCGTCCCCGCCGAGATCCCCCGCCCCCGGCGCTGCGGTACCTCGGCTGATGACGGCCAGGCCGGCCAGGGCGGCGGCGGCGAGGAGCCGGAGCCGGGCCCCGGGCGCAGGGGGGGGCATCGCGGCAGCGCGGAGGGGGAGGGGAGGGGGCGGTCGGGGCGCGCGAGCCTGGGGGAGAGGGGGAGGGGAAGGGGGACCCCGCCTGCGGCTGCACCGGCCCGGGGGGCGGCGGGGGCGGGGGGAGGGGGCTGGGGGGGCGCGACGAGGCGGCCGGAGCTGCAGCAGACCAGGGGAGGGGGGTGGCGCTGACGGGCAGGGAGACCGGCCAATCAGGGCAGGCGGGGGGCCGCGGAGGCGGGGCCGGGGGGGTTGCTCGTTGGAGGGAGAGGCCTTTGTTACTGTGGCCCGGCCCTCCCCGCCCTCCCCCGTGCCACTGGCGTCCTCCTGGTCTCCAGAACCCGGGCTTGAGATGCACTTCATCCAGCTGCCTCCTACTGCAGGAGCCAAAACCCTCCTCCCTCAGACCCAAGGTGCACAGACCCTCAGCTCCTCCTCCCTTAGTCATAGGAGTCTAGACCCAGTCTTCCTTCCTCAGTCCCAGGTGCAAAAGCCACAGCCTCCGTCCTCAGACCCAGATGCACAGACCCCAACCTTTTCCATTAGATTCTGGGAATCCAGTGCCCAGCCTCCTCCCTCACACCCAGATGTCCCTTAGACAAGGTTCAACCTCAGCTTCCTCCCTCAGACCCAGGAATTCACACCCTCCACACAAAATAAATAAATGTAATAATTTATTTTTTATTGTAAGAGCCACAACTCTGAGCCGAAGTCAGATAAGCTAGACAGTGGGAAAATACCGGTTCTCTTTCCATGTTCACCATGGGGAAGTAACACTCCTCGGGCTCAGCATAGCTGGCATAAGCCGTAGTAGAATTCACTGATTCCCCAAATTGAATCCAAGGCCTTGGGCTTGCCAGGCAAGAGAATTACCCCTGAGCTAACCTGCGTCCCCTCAGTGGAGGACTCTAGCAGATGCTTTACCACTCACTGAGCATGCCTCCACCCCCTCACTGCAGATTCTAGGCAGAAGCCCCACCTCTGAGTCACACCCAGCCCCTCACCGGGGGATTCTAGACAAGATAGTCACTGTTGACCGCAGCCCCAACCTTATGGATTCTTAATAAAGGCATGCGAATGAGTTGGAAAACCAGCAAAGGGCAGCAACCACTACTGTGACCGGATGGCACAAAAGGTACAGGACACACGCGTCAGTTCTCCACCCTCTGTTTCCCCACTGGGCACTACAGTGAACCACTTCCTGTCCCTTGAAGTATTCCAGGCATGCTATTCATTAAATGCTTTTCTCATTGCTGTGACAAAATGCCTGGCATGGGCAACTTAGGAAGCAAGGGGCTTAAGTTTGGTTCAACATCCTAATCCGAAGACCTGAAATCATTGTAAATTTGGAAGGTTTTAGTTTTTAATGACGTTTTATTCATTTTGGTGTGATGATATGTTGCTCACCTGTATTCCCAGCTCTGGAGAAGTGAAGGCAGGGGGTTCATGGGTTCAAGGTCATCCTTGACTACATATCAAGTTCAAGGCTAGCCAGGGCTACATGAGATCCTTTCTCAAAATAAAATGTTTCAGGTTCTGGTGCATTTTTTGGAGTTCACATTTTCAGATTATGGAACCTCACACTGTTACAGTACTTGGATTTTGCCTCTTGACTCTGTGAAGCCACCTTTGGGTGGTTTGAAAGAGAATGCTTCCCCAATCCCCACTGGCTCAAATATTTCAACTCTGAGGAAGGGTTAGTAGGGATGACCGAGTGGGAGAAGGCGTGCCACTGGGGCAGGGCTATGAGGTTTCAAAGGCCTGGGACATTCCCAGTTTCTGTGTACACACTCTCTCTGCCTTGTGCTTGTGGATAAAATGTGAGCTCCCTACTGCTCCAATGCCCTGCCTGCCTGCCCGCCTGCCTGCCCACCTGCCTGTCATGTGCCCCACTATGATAGTCATGGACTAACCCTCTGGGACTGTGAGCCCCCGACAAGCTCCTCCTTTTGTAAATTGCCTTCATGTTTTTGTTGTTGTTGTTGTTGTTTTTTAACAGCAGTTGAAAGGTGACTAAGATATCACCCTTTATTGTGTGCATTGCAAAAACAGAGCTGCAGTCTTTAAATAGTTCTGCTTTGCTATGGCCAGCAGAAGCACCCTGGAGGGACTCTGCAAGGAGAAACAGAGGATGTCTTCCTTGCCTCACTTCCTAGAGACTCCTTAACCATGCATGCCTCAGTTTCCAGCTCTACAAGTAGGTACGCTGACCCCACAAAGTCCTGGGGTTGCTGGATTGAGGAGGTCTCAGACCACAGTCTCAGATGCTCCCTTCGTCTGTAGGAATAGACAGTGGCACACAACTGTCTGCTTGGCCCTCTCCTTCTTGTACATTCTGTCATCTCCTCTCCAGGATCAACCACCAACTGCTATGACATTCCCTTGGGGATTTAGTCAGCCTTTGAACCCAAAGACAGTTCAGAAGATCCTGCGGTGACCAAGCCTAGAGGGGGACAGGAATATCTTCCTCTGTGGGCTATCTGCCCTTGCTTCATCCCATGGGATACATTTGCATCTTGGTCTGGATGGTCACTAAACGATTGTGACCATGTGCAGAGTGTCACCTGGGTCCAAGGGGAAATGTTTGATAAATGAGAGAATGAGGAGGGAGGGAAGAGTGACAGATGGCAAAAGAAGGCTGGCCATGTGGCTCAGTTGGTGGAGTGTTTGCCTGGCATGAGTGAAGCCCTGGCATCCTTCCCAGTACCAGTAAACCAGGCATAGGGAAGCATGCTTGCAATCCCTGCATGGGGCCGGGGAAAGCAGGACGATAAAGAGTTTAAGGTCATCCTTGGCTACATATGAAGTTGGATGCCAGCCTGGCTTATATGAAACCCTGTCTCATAGAGAGGGGGGGGGGCAACAGATAGAGGTCCAGATGCACCCAAAATGCATGGAACCTACAAAAGAGCCAAAGATATATGAAGTAACAGAAATGTAATAAAGCATGGTTATGATGGGTGGGTGGAATGTGCGTGTGTGCGAGGCAAAGGGCATTAAAAAGAAAAAAAAAAAACGGATATAAAGAGCGAGTAAGGTTAAGGGGGCCTGTCCACAGCAGGATAAGTGTAGCCAACAATGTGGCATGGTATTCGTAACTGTTTTCTGTTTAGAAATCTCACCACACATAGGAAAGGTAGCTGATTGATTGGGTCGGCTATCTCTGCTTGCTCCGACACTCTCACTGGTCTGGAGCCCACACTTCCCATGCTTGAACTTTCGCTCAGCCCCTTTCCTGCATGACCTCCTGGTGCAGCCAAGGCCTCCCTCCCTTGATACCTGCCCTTGAGCCTTAAGCAAGGACTGGGTCATCCATGTGGGATGCACCTACCTGGAGATTAGGAGAAGAAGAGGAGGGGAGGGAAAGAAGGGGAGGAAGAGAGGGAGGAGGAAGGAAAGAGGGAGAGGAAAGGAGAAGGGGAGAAAATGGAGGATTGTGAGATAAGGGGGAGAGGAAAGGGAAGCAGAAGGGGGAAGGAGAAGGCGGAGGCCTGGAGAGGGTACATTTGCCCAGCCACAGTGACAGCCAGGCTGTAGGTGTCTGGCTCTGGAGTCTAAGGTGGAGATGGCATCTTGCTCCTCTGCAGGTCTGTTGGGGTCTGGCAAGTACCATGATGCATGTGCATTTCTCATATGGAGTCTCCTCTCTCTCCCCATGGCCCTGGGCCACAGAGGAAACAGAGGGTGCCTTTCCTTGGTGTTAGGAAGTCCAGGTCCTGTTCCGAGTGTCCCACTCATGCAGGCATGGACTGGCTCCTTTAATCCTTGGCCTCGGGTAAAAGGTGTTGCTCATAAAAACGGTTTACTTTTTGCAAGGATAAGCAGGCTACAATCCACAGGTGAGGTAACAAGGAGGGCCCAAGGGGGTGGGGCCATGGATCTCCCTGGGAAGGGTAAATAGAAGAGATCTCCTGGGTAGACTTGGGGCAGGTGGGGATGGGAACTTGAGGGATTGGGTTGGGAGTGGGTAGAGGGGGAGAGTACTGGAAAGATAACTGGAAATGGGGGTTTTTGGGTTGAGATAGAAACCTGATGCAAGGGAAACTCCATGAATCTACAAGGATGACCTCAGCTAAAACTCCTAGCAATAGCGGATACATAGCCTGAACTAGCCATCTCCTGTGATCAGATTGGTGACTACCCCAGTTGTCATCAGAGAGTCTTCATCCAGTAACTGATGGAAACAAATGCAGAGGCCCACAGCCAAACATTAAGCCTAGCTCAGGAACCCAGTGGAAGAGAGGGAGGAAGGATTGTAGGAGCTAGAGGGGTCAGAGACATCACAAGAAAATCCACACAAACAACTAACCTGGCTCATAGGAACTCAAAGTCTGAACCAAGAATTAGGGGGCCTGCATGGCACTGACCTAAGCCCTCAACATACATGTGACCAGGGTGTAGCTTTGTCTGTTTGTGGGACTCCTAACAATGGGAATAGGCGTTTCCCTTAATGCTTTGTGTGGCTCTTGGGAACCTATTTCTCTTACTGGATTGTCTTGCTCAGCCTAAATACAAGAGGGGGGGTGCTTACCACAACTTGATATGCTAAGCTTTGTTAACACCCATGAGAGTTCTGACCCTTTCTGACCAGAAACAGAGGAGGAGTGAATTTGGGTGGGGGGGAGAAGGGAGGTGGGAGGGAGTAGGAAGAGAGGAGAGAAAGGAAACTATGGTTGGGCTGGAAAGCATACATTACTTCAATTAAAAAATATTTCTTTGGCATCTTAAAAAAGTCTTACTTTTTGTCATTTATTGATTGATTGATTGAGACAGGGTCTCATGTAGCCCAAGCTGGCCTCCAACTCACTATGTAGCCAGAGCTCCTGATCCTTCCGCCTCTGTCTTCGAGTGCTGGAATGAATGTGGTGTGAACCACACCTCAATTGTGTGGCGCTGGGGATCAAACCCAGAGTTTCATGCATGCTAGGCAGGCTCTTGACCAACTGAGCCACCGCCACAGTCCCTTCATCCTAATTCCTATGGCAAACCCAGGCCTTTACCATCTTAGAAGACAATCATATTTTTAAATAAGACTTACAGAGGTAATCAAGTAAGGTAATCAATTAAGATGACTTAAGCTGGGTGGATTAGACCCCATATGGACCATGACAAAAGGTTAGATGGAAATGGCCGGGAACAATTGTTATCCTACCTACTAGGAGGCTGAAGCAGGAGAGTCTCAGAGTTCAGGGTCATCCTGGGTGACCCTGTCTTAGAAAAAAAGAAAAAAAGTAAAAGAAGACAAGGAATGTAGGAATGTAGTAGAGTGTTTTTCTAGAATCCTCCCATTGAGGGGCTGGGGCATGGCTCTGCAATGTAGCTCTTGTCTGGGTCAGAACGAGCAAGATCCTGCAGTCCAAACCTGGAGCTACAGAAAACAAACAATCAGACCAAAATGTCAGAGGAAGAGGAGGAGGAGGGAATGATGGCAAATGCACCCAGAGAAGGTCCTGTGAGGACACAGAAAGGAGACTGACATCTCCACGTGAAGGACAGCACCCCCAGGAGAGGCCAGCCCTCAAGATACCTGCACCTCGATCTTTAGCCTCCAGGATTAAGGGGAAAATTCGTGGTTTGAAGGCACAATCCTGTGGCACTTTTTCATGGCTAATTTGCAAAGCATTTACACTGGAATTTACTGTCCTCAACTGGCTCCATCTGCTGGCGTCTGAGAGGTGGGGCAATACTGGGTCTGAAGTTACACAGGGCCCTTGCCCTGGTCGCTGCAGAGCTCTACTGTCCCACGTGAGCTCATCGTAAAGAATGCATAGATCCAGACCACATCCAGTGAAGCCCCTGGCCCTCCATGCTGGTCGAGGGGCTCAGAGCTGGAGTGCCAGGATAGAGCTGCAATGGCTGCTCTCTAAGAGTGCAAGCCCCTCCCCTGTGCCTGTGCCCAGGAGGGGCAGGAGGGCCTGGTTTGTATCCCTTCTGGCAGCCAAGCACACAACTAAGGCTGACTGGTACTTACCCCAAACAGTTTCAGACTTCCGTTTTGGCTCCTCCTGAAACTGGTTTCTTGAGGGCCGGGGCTTCTTTGTTCTTGAAAGTTTGATTCTCCTCCCACCAATTAAGCATCTTCATTCTAAGACAAAGAGCCCTTTGGTGAGCTCTTTAACATCACCACCATTCCCAGCTCCAGCCCTGGGCTGCTGCCCCAACACCGGGTTGTCTCCACATGCTGGCTCTGTGACCAGCCCACTGATCTCTCTCATGGTGGACTCTCCATGGCCTCTACTCACCACCTGGTCTCTAGGCTCTCATGTCCTAGGCCCTAGAAACTGCCCTGTTTCTCTCTCTTGGTCATAGCTTTCCTGGACTTCCTCACAAACTCCGGTACAAAGTGCCTTCTCTCTGCTTCTCTTGAAACCCTGTGATAGCTCTCTCAATATCTCTATCTCTACCTATCTCTACCTCTATCTCTATCTCTCTATCTCTATTTATCTCTATCTCTCTATTGTTATCTCCATCTCTCTCTATCTATATCTATATATCTATATATACCTTTTGTGTGGGTACAAGCTTATTTTGCATATGTTTTCCTTCTCTTAACATTTTTGGCACATGTCTCATATCAGAGCACAAGGAACTCAGTCTTTTTGGTGGCTCTATAGTATTGCATTCAGTGGAACTTCCACAGGTTACATCAGTAGTCACCTGATGCTCTTGCAAAGGCCTGCTGGATCACTTCTTAGCTCCCTGTGGGCTCTGTCCTATCATACACCTCCCCTCACCCCAACAGCTGGAGCCAGGTTTCTATAGATGTCCATTGGTCTCTATCCCTTTCCAGATGAACAGCCTTCTTTTTGGCTTCAGTGTGAATTGAGAGAGTAAGATCCAAATTTTCATTTCCTGTCTGAAAGCCATCCTTCTACATAATGACCAAAAATGGTTTTGAAAGCACTGCCACAAACTAGGCAGAAGCTGAAGCTCAGACGCACTGGCTAGGGCTGGCTTTGGATGGTTGACCTTCGCAACACACCGAATTTTATAAAATTACATTGTCTTTATTTATTGTGTGTGTGGGTTTGTGTAAGCATGAGTGTGGTAGTCAGAGGACACCTTGCAGGATTTGTATTCATTCTCTCCTTCCACTATTAAGCCCTGGGGGACCAGCAGATGGTCAGGGTGGGGGACAAGCGCTTTTGTTCACTAAGCCACCTTTCCAGCCCCACCATGAATGAATTTGACTTAAAGGAAGTGTGTACCATGAATGATGCATTCACAGGTGTGAAATGCACATTTCATTTACATTTATGTAGAACTTTTATTAAAAATAAACAAAAATTTGCTGCAAGGAAAATAAATTGGTATTATGCATAGTATATTGTATGAGCTTATTTAATTTAGGCTAGAAAGAGGATCAATTGGTCCAGGTGGTACAGACCAGCTATTGGGAAGGTGAGAAAGTCCAAGACCATAATATTGAGTTTCTGCCTTAAAATGAAAGTATGAAGAGGGCTGGGGGTGTAGCTCAGTAGTAGAGCCCCTCCCTAGAATTCCCCAGTGAGGGGCTTGGCCATGACTCAGTAGTAGAACAATTATCTACCATGTCCAAAGACTTATATTCAGTCCTCTCAGTACTGAAAGAGAGTGTATGGGGGGGGGTTTACTAGAAAGCACATTTCTAATAGATCAAAAATCATAATGGAAATTGGAGATGTTTCAATCAAGTGATAATAACGTAGTTCACATCCACATCTGTGAGTTAAAGTTAAGTTTATGCTTAAAGAGGAAATGTGTAGCCCTAAATGCAAATAAAGAAGGCTGGAACTTAATGATGAGTCCATTTCAACAGAAACTAAACTAGAAGAAAATATGATGGCGGAAATGAACATTGTAAGTCAATGAAGGGGCCAGTGAGATGGCTCCATGGATAAAGGAGCCTACAGCCAAGACTGACCTGCCTGATAAAATGAATGAACCAACTCCCAGAAGTTGTTCTCTGACCTCCATTTGTATACTAGGCATGACAAGTGCATTTGCTCTCTCTCTCATGAAAGAATAAATGTAATTTTAGAAATAAGTGTATGTGGTGGACTTTTGGAGGGCTTGGTGTTGAATTTGAATTTGATACTCACGCCAGGACAACAAGGAAGAAAAAGAGTAAAGAAGATGCTATTGTCCCGTACACAATGCCCTGGATTAGCCCTCTCAGGAAGACACTGGAAATGGAGCTTTTATCTGAAACAAAAGGGAAGAGAGGGTGGTTGTCCTGAGGCTTTCAAACTATGACTCTCCTCCCTCTCATCCTGGCCCTTAAGTGCTGGCCTTCTAGCCTAGTCACTAGACTTCTGTCTGCTCACCTGGTATCAGGAAAATTCTGGAAGCATGAACTCCATATTGGTTCCTCCCCTCACAGCGTAGTCTCCTTATGATTTCTGGTTCCCATAGGAGGTGGATGGTGCTGTTGGTCCAGGGTTCCAGTGTGGTGGAGGTCATGCGCAGGATGGTATCTATGCTTTTTGCACTCACAGGGACTCCTCCAACCCACCACTGCACAGAGGGTGTGGGGATCCCATGGAAGGAACAACTACATGCTAGTGTCCTCTTCAATAAACAGGAGTAGTTGAGCAGCCTAGCAGGTGCTGTGGAGAAGAAGGAACAGGGGTCAGAGAGACATATACACTTCCCTTCACTTCTCCCAAAGCCAAAAAATACTTGTAATTATGTAAACATGTGTGTCTGTGCATGTACATGTGAGTACAGTAGAGGCCAGAAGAGGGCACTGGATCCCTTAGAGCTAGAGTTACAACATGGGTTCTCAAGGGAACTGAACTCAGTTCCTCTGTAAGAGAAGTGTGATGGTTTGAGTGAGAATGTCTCCCAGAGGCTAAGGTGTTCGAACCCTTGGTCCCCCTTTGGTTGTGCTGTCCGAGGAGGTTTAGGAGACATGGCCTTGTTAGAGGACGGATGTCACAGGAGGTGGTCTTTGAGAGTTAAAAATCTTGGATCATTTCCTGTTTGCTCTCTGCTTCCTGCATATGGTAAAGGATGTGAGCTCTCAGCATCACACTCCAGCCACCATGCCTGCCCCATGCCTCCCTGCCATGATGACTTTATCCCTCTGGAACCACAATAAACAAACTCTTTATGGTACAAGTTTCCTTGTCTGTGGTGTTTTATCACAGCAACAGAAAAGTACCTGATATAAGTAATGTGTTCTCTCAGCCTGTTAAGCCATCTCTGTAGCCCCCAAACTTCTTATTTGTCATTCCCAAAGAGCTTTGGAGACTTTCTAGAAGCCTGGGAGCGAGTAGTTGAGACTCAGAGAGGTTCTCATTCATGTTTCTTCATCATCTGCACAAAACTTGAACTTCCCTCTTACCTGTGGTCTCTCAACCCCAGGGGGATATGGCTGCTCCCCTCCATGACCCAGGTCTTTCTCTGGGGCCCACCATTTCCCCCCAGACTGTAGACCCCGGCAGTGCCCACCCACACTCACAGACCAGTCGTAGTTTGACCGATTTACGGCTGACCAGGTTATCTAGGGATAGACTTAAGTGGCATCTGAAGGTGGACATCTCTGAAGAGGAGTTGATTGAGACATTTGTGTTGGAAGACATGTCAGGCCCATTCCAGGAGACAGAAAGGACTTTGGGTTCTTGGCAGATGCCTTGGATGGCACAGGTCAAAGTTGCAGGCTCTCCAGCCACACCACTTTCTGGGATGTGAAGCTCTGGCTTTTGGGTCAGGTCTAGAGGAGAGAACAAGGTACTTTAGATTTACACTTTAGGTAGGGGCAGGCCACTGCACAGTATTTTTAATTGGAATCCTCAAACTTCTCCCAACAGCCTCACAGAACCCAGGATTACCATGACCATGTTTTTTTGTTTTTTTTGTTTTTTTTTTTGTTTTTGCCAATTTCTGCTCTCTATCAGGAAGCCCACCCTACCTCACCAGACCTCACCAGTTGAACAAGGTGAGGAGTTAGTAAGGTGGAAACTCTTGATTCTGAAGTCTGGATTTTTTTTAAATGATTAGAATTACATTATTGGGGCTGGCAATATGGCTAAACAGATAAAGGCACTTGCCACAAGCTCCAACAACCTGACCTGAGCTTATCCCTAGGACTCATACTGTGGAAGAAAGAACAGACTCTCACAGGTTGTGACTTCCATAGACACACAGTGACATGCACATATGCACACACACTATATTGGTTTGTTTTCTATTGCAGCGATAAAGACATGGCCAAAAGCAGCTTGGGAAGGAAAGGGTTTGTTTCATCTTACACTTCCATGTCACACTCCACCGTTGAGGGAAGTCATGACAGGAACTCAAGGCAGGAACCTGGAGGAAGGTACTGAAGCAGAAACCATAGAAACCAGTCTGCATTTTTATACAACTTAGGACCACTTGTCTTGGGGTAACACCACCCACAGTGGGTTAGGCCATCCCATACCAAGTATTAATCAAGAGAATGCCTTATAGACTCACCTACAGGCCAATCTGATGGAGGCATTGTCTCAACTGAAGTTACTTCTTCGCAGATGACTCTAGTTTGTGTATGTGTGTGTGTGTGTGTGCACGCGCATGGGCGTGTGAGTGTGTGTGTATGTGTGTGTGTGTGCGCGCGCGCGCGAGCGTGAGTGTGTGCAAACTATGGAGTGAACACAGAGGTTCAAGGACAACTTGTAGGAGTTGGTTCTCCTTCCAGTATTTGGGTTCCAGGGGTTGAACTCAGGTTGTTAGCCTTGGTGGGAAGCATCTTTACCCTCTGGGCCATCTCCCACCCTGAAGTCTGGATCAACACTGATGGCGAATGAGTTTCTTGATCTACAGTGCCTGTGACTCCTCAGACTAGGGCTCCCACTGAGAGATCCTGGTTAGCCTCCCTGCTACCGACCCCTCACCTTGAGTTCAGTTCCTTCCCAAACTGATCTTTGATCATTTCTATGCTCTTTTAAAATTAAAAAAAAAAATCTATGTACATGTGTATGGGCATGTTCATACAAGTGAATACAGACACAAGTGTGCCAAGATACATGCGTGGAGCTTATAGAAAAACCTTGCCTTCCACCTTGCTCAAGATGGTCTCTTGTTCTCTGCTGTGAATGCCAGGCTAGATGACCCTCAGCTTCCCAGGATCCTAATACCTTTGCTTTCCATCCTATCATAGCAATGATGAAATTACAAACATGTGCTACCATGCCTGGCTTTCTGTGGGTAAGCCTGGGACTCCCTCTATAGGAGAGGCTGACCTTAAGCTCCTTTAATTTCTTTTACCACAGCTCCCAAGTGCTGAGTTTATGCAAACAAGCCACTATGCCTGCCCTGTCTTTGAACTTTTTATTTATAGAGATGCTAACTGTATGTAAAGCATTATATTACTTTGGAAATCAAACACCTATGGTTTTCTGGGTTTTTTCAAAAAGGATTTTATTTATTTATTTATTTATTTATTTATTTATTATGTATATAGTATTCTTCCTGCATGCCAGAAGAGGGCACCATATCTCATTACAGATGGTTGTGAGCCACCATATGGTTGCTGGGAATTGAACTCTGAGAGAGCAGCCAGTGCTCTTAACCTCTGAGCCATCTCTTCAGCCCAGTTTTGTAATTTTACATTAGTTAATTTAATTTATGTGTGATCAGGCATGCATGTGGAGGTCAGAAGACATTTTGCAGGAGTCAGTTCTACCACGTGGGCCCCAGGGATAGAACTCAGGTCTTCAAGCTTGATGGCAAGTGCCTTTATCCATTGCCCTCCCTCACAAATCCCCAGCTTTCTTTTGCATATACTTTTTTGTGCTGTGTTCTCGTGTGTGTGTGTGTGTGTGTGTGTGTGTGTGTGTGTGTGTGTGCGTGCGCGCGTGCGCCTCAGGTTGTATAAAGTCTAACTCCTGATGAAGTAATATCCCTCTGACCACCAGCACTCCCTCTGGATTTCCTACCTCCTAAACCACTTAGTGCTCAAGCCTGCCCATCACCTGACATGGAGAGTCCAATGTCCTCTTTCAGGGTGGTGTCTTTCTGATCTCCTACACCTACATAGAGCAAGTAGGTCATGTTTTCTTTTCCAAGCATGTCTCGGGTCAGCAGGATGCAGGCTTCCACCTCCTCTGTGGAGAGATCACCCATGGGGGCTCGGGGCTGCCTGGTATCTGCATGCAAGCTGATGTTCTCATTATGCCTGTAGTGCACAGTCATGGGATTTCTGGGAGATGCCTTGCGAAATTCAAACACACAAGGGACTGTACTGCATAGATTGTCTTCTACTGTTGTTGTCTTCATAACAACCAAAAGTGGAGGAATTAACCCTGTGGGGAGAGATCTAAAATGGAAAGCAGTCCCACCTCAAGTTTCCAGAGTTCTGCCTATGGATTAAAGGGTCAGGTCACTCAGGACAGGCTTGGTGTTTGCTCATCTCTGGAAAGTCCTTCTTGGGAAGTCTTTATTAGGATGCAGTCATATCAGATACTCTAAGAGTCATGTAATTCATGGCAGAGTATTTGGGATTCACTTAGTCTCTTTAGCTGCCAGTCTCCTCCAAATTGGGTCATGCTTGCCTGAAATTCCCTCTGGACAGACGGTTGATATGTTATAGTTTTTGTTAACGCAACAAACGGCATATCTCCAAAGAGGGAATCTCAGTTGAGAAATGGCCTGATTCCTTAGGAATTTCTGATTCACGTGGGAGGGGCTAACACACTGTGGACACGGTGCCATCCCTAAGAAGTTCAGTCTGGATTGCATGGGAAACTTAGTAAGCCATAGAGAGCAAGCCAGTAAGCAGCAATGCTCCGTGGCCTCTGCTTCAGTCCCTGACTGCAAGCTTCTTCTTTAGCTCCCCTTATCAATAGACTATCAATTGTACACTTCAATACACTCTTCCCCAAGTTGTTTTTGGTCGGTGTTTTATCACAGCAACAGAAAGCAGACTATATACAACCAGCTGTGGCCTCAGGCCCTCTGAAGCTGCAATCCCAGCCCTCTCTGATACCCAGGTGAGACTTAAATTAAAATGTTACTTTTTCATTGCATTTTGTGAAGGCCAGAGGCCCACTAGTGGAAGTCAATTCTCACCTCACACTGTGTGGGCTGCAGACACTGAATTCATACCATGAATCTCTGAGCACTCCCCTGGTCCGAATTATAACGTCACTTGTACTTACTGCCTTCCTGTCTTGTCACTTCTGGTGGGACTTACCCTCTGTCCCGAGTCTGTAAGAGCAGAAAAGTCCCTCCAACTTACTTTAAAGACATTGTGTTGTGTGATGTCTGTCGCTCCCCTGAGGAAGCTCTTTGTGTTTGTGGAGAGGGGAGGGGAAGGCATTAATTCATCTAAGCTTCTTTGCTGCAGAGCATTATCATTGCTATTACTTATAATAAGTATCCTCTTGATCTCTGGAAGTACTGGGTGCTAAGGTCTCCCACAAATGCATGACCAGATTCCCAGTGAAAACCTTGCACTCACACTTTGGTGGGCTCCTGAGTGGGGAAGCGAACTTAAACTCTATGATTCCCTGTGCACTGACAGTAAGATGACTGTGCCATTTAGACGGCTTCCCTAGGAGAGACCTACTGGGTGCTTGTACTTAGTCCTCTGGCTACTTCTCCCATCATCTCTTCCTTTTGCTGATCTTAATCTGCGTGATTTTGATATAATTGGTTATCACCATAAAGATAATGGCTTCACTGAAGTCTTCTTTTTTCTTTTTAAAAATTTATTTATTTATTTATTGTTTTACATCCAGACCACAGTTTTCCCTCCCTCTTCTCCTCCCAGTCCCTTTCCCCCACCTCTTCTCCCCCCTCCCACCCACCCCTCCTCCATTTCTCTATAGAAAAACAATAGGCCTCCCATGGATATCAAACAGCCATGGCATACAAGTTGCAGTAAGACTGTGCATCTCCTCTCCTATTAAGGCTGGGCAAGATAACCTGGTAGGAGGAATGGGTCCCCAAAGCAGGCAATAGAGTCAGAGACAGCCCCTGCTCCCACTGTTAGGAGCCCCACAACAAGATCAAGCTACACAACTGTAACATGCGCAGAGGGCCTAGGTCAGGCCCATGCAGGCTCCCTGTTCTCAGTTCAGACTCTGTGAGCTCTCATGAGCCCAGGTTAGTTGATTCTGTTGATTTTTGTGTGGTGTTATTTGCCCCTCTGGTTCCCACAATCCTTCCTTCCCCTCTTACACAGAACTCCCTGATCTCCACCTAATGTTTGGCTGTAGGGTTTTGAATCTGTTTCCATCAGTTGCTGGGTTAAGCCTCTCTGATGGCAACTGGGCTAGGCATCAATCTATGAGTAGAAAAGAATTTCATTAGGAATCGTTACATTGACTTTTTTGGTTAGTCCTGTTTGGCTCTATCCTAGGTCTCTGGGATTTTGGCCTCTGGGTCCTGGCCCTCCAGACAGTGTCAGGCATGGGCTCCCTCTCAGGGCATGGATCTCAGGCTGGAACAGTCCAGTCATTGGTTGCCCACTCCCACAATCTCTGTACCACCTTTACCCTAGCACATCTTGTAGGCAGGACTAATTGCAGAATGAATGTTTTGTGGCTTTATTGGTGTCCTAGAACTTCCACTGGAAGTCTTACCTTGTTATAGGAGATGGTTGCCTTAGTTTCTGTATTACCCATTGCTAGGAGTCTTAGGTAGGAGCACCCTCATAGATTCCTGGGAATGTTCATTGCACTTGGTTTCTAGCTCATCCGAGAGATGCCTCAGATTCCAGTTGTCTGTCCTAGTACTCTCTGACCCGATCCTTCCCTTTTCCATCCTCATCCACCCCCAGTCCACCCTCAAAATCAATTTCCTCTTTCCAGTGAGATCCAAACATCCTTCCTTGAGGTCTCTGATGAGTGAACTTCAGTGTGTGTGTGTGTGTGTGTGTGCACGCATGTGTGTGAGTGTGTGTGTGTGTGTGAGTGCATGCGAGTGTGTGTGTGTGTGTGTGTGTGTGTGTGTGTGTGTGTGTGTGTGTAGGAGAACAGACTCATGGAGTTGGGGGTTGAGGGAGCCACATGCTGCTTCACACTGCCTGACTCTGGTCTTCACAACCCAAGAGCCCAGGACCCCCCTCTCTCTCCTTATACAAGATCACATCCATAGACAAGAAGCCATGCCTTAAGTCTGGTACCCCAAAGCTATTGGTGGAATGAATTCCCACAACAATCCTCTGGGTCTGTGGATTGTAGCATGGTTATCCTTTATTTTATAGCTAAAATCCTCTTATAAGTGAGTATGTACAATGTTTGTCTGTCTGGATCTGGTGTTACATCACTCAGATGATCCATTCTAGCTCCATCCATTTGACTGCAGATTTCCTGGTGTCCTTGCTTTTAACAGCTGAGTAATACTCCATTGTGTAAATGTACCACATTTTCTTTATCTATTTTTTTTTTTTGTTGTTGTTGTTGTTTTGGTTGAAGGACATCTAGGTTGTTTCCAGTTTCTGGCTATTATAAATAAAGCTGTTACAACATAGTTGAGCAAGTGTCCTTGTGGTATGGTGGAGGATCAGGATTCTTTGAATACATGCCCAGGAATAATATAGTTAGGTCTTGAGGTAGATCAATTCCCAATTTTCTAAGGAACTGCCATATTGATTTCTACAGTGACTGTATAAGTTTACACTCACACCAGCAGTGGAAGAGTGTTCCCCTTGCTCCACATCCTTGCCATCATGAGCTTACCCATTCTGACAGGTGTAGGTTTAATTTGAATTTCCATGATGGCTAAGTATGTTGAACATTTCTTTAAGTACTTCTTGGTTGTTTGAGATTCTCCTGTTGGGAATTCTCTGTTTAGATCTGTACCACATTTTTTAATTGGATTATTTAGTTTGCTGATGTCTAGTTTCTTGGGTTGTGCCCTTCTGTTAGATGTGAGATTGATGAAGACGCTTCCCCATTCTATAGACTGCTATTTTGTCCTTTTGATGGTGTCCTTTGCCTTAAAGAAGCCTTTCATTTTCACGAGGTTCCTCTTATTAATTTTTGATCTTAGTGTCAGTGCTATTGATGTTCTGTTCAGGAAGCTGTCTCCTATTTCCCACTTTCTCTATTAGCAGTTTCAGTGTATTTGAATTTACGAGGTCTTTGATCCACTTGGACTTTGAGTATTGTTTAGGTGGTAGATATGAATCTATTTGCATTCTTCTACATGCAGACACCCAGCTTGGCCAGCACCATTTGTTGAAGATGCTTTATTCTTTCCATTGTATAATTTTGTCTGTTTGTCAAAAATCAAATGTCCATAGGTGTGTGGGTTTACTTCTGAGTCTTTGATTCTATACTGTTGACCCACTTGTCTGTTTTTATGCCAATACCATGCAGTTTTTTTCACTATTATTGCTCTGTAGTACAGCTTGAAATCAGGGTGGTGATTCCTCCAGAAGTTCTTTTACTGGTAAGGGTTGTTTTGGCTATCCTGGGTTCATTATTTTCCAGATGATGTAGAGTATTGTTCTTTCAAGGTCTGTGAAGAATTGTCCTGGGATTTTGATGGGGACTGCATTGAATCTGTAGATTGCTTTTAGCAAGATGGCCATTAAAAAAAAAAAAAAAAAAAACTATGTTAATCCTACCAATTCATGAGCTTGCGAGATCTTTCCATATTCTGGTATCTTCTCCAAATTCTTTCTTCAAAGATTTGAAGTTCTTGTCATACAGGTCTTTCTCTTGCTTGGGTAGAGTTACACCAAAATATTTTATATAATTTGTGGCTATTGTGAGTGTTGTTTTCCTGGTTTCTCTGCCTATTTTTCATTTGTATGTAGGGCTACTGATTTATTAAAATTAATCTTGTATCCAACCATTTTGCTGAAGCTGTTTATCAGCTACAAGGGTTTCTTGGTAGAATTTGGGGGTCAATTATGTAAACTATCATTTCATCTGAAAATAGTGATACTTTGATCACTGAAGTCTCTTTTTCAAGACAAAAATCTCTAGCCTAGAATGACGTCAAACTGACTATGTAGCCAGTATCCAGGTACTGAGATTATCACAGCTTTACAGGATTCAGGGAACCAAACCTGGCACTTTGAGCATGCTAGGCAAACACCTTACCTACTGAGGCACAGTTCCATTAAATTGTTTTTTCTTTTAAATATCATTTTATTTATTCTATAAAAATTTCATACATGTATACAATGTAGCTTGAGCATACCCACTCTGAGCCCCTGCTCCAGTTCCCCTGGGACACTCCCAACACCTCCGCCCAACTTCAAGTTTGTCTGTGTATTTATTTTAAAACACTGAGTTCAGTTCTTAACACCTATATTTGCAATGGGTGGGGTCATCCAGTGAAGCACGGGCAGTCAACCTCCCAAGGTGACTCTTGCAGCAGCCATCAACTGTCAGTAACTCCTCAGTCAGAGATGTGACTTCAGTGGCTGAGGAGCCATTCATTCATGCTGAAATTTTTAACTGGCAAGTAACTACACCTACTATGAATTCACAAATGTAACAGCCAAGTCTTGTCTAGAAGACAGCCTTTCTTAGCATTCTTCTCCATTGTCTATCTCTTACATTCTTTCTGCCCCTTCTTCCACAGTGTTCGCCAAAATTTGGAGCCAGGGATGGAAGGTTGATATCGAAGTCTCCTCTCCAGCAGAACATTTAGTCTCTCTCTTTTAATAAAAAGTTGCCTTCTCAAGAATTATTTTTAATTATGTGTATGTATTTGTCTCTGTGTGGATATGTGCATATGTGTTTGGGTATCCACAGCTACCAGAAGTGTCCAGTGTCCTGGATCAGGAGTCATGCGTGATTGTGAGCCACCGACATGGGTGCTGGGAACTGAAACCATGTCCCTTACAAGAGTATGCTCTTAACTGCTAACCCATCCCTCCAGCTCCAAGATCATAATCTCTCTCTCTCTCTCTCTCTCTCTCTCTCTCTCTCTCTCTCTCTCTCTCTCTCTCCCTCCCTCCTTCCTTTCCTCCCTCTCTCTCTCTGGATTTCTCTGTGTTGCCCTGGCTTCCTGGAATTCTCTATGTAAACCAGGCTGGCTTCTAATTCACAGAGATCCGACTGCCTCTGTGTCTCAAGTGCTGGGATTAAAGGCGTGCACCACCACTGCCCACCCCAATAGAATTCTTTCTGTCAGTGCCACCCAATCCAGTTTCTAGTTTTGTAATTGTCCTTGCTATTTTTTTTTATTACTTCACCACCCTGCACCATTCCTAAACTACTGGGAAAAAAAAAAAAAAAGCTCAATAGTACCAATGTTGCAGTGATGTGGGAATTCAAGAAAAACTACTTCTGTGTAGTAGTTTCCTTCCTGGAGGAAGAACGAGGACTCCAGAGGGTCATTGCATTTTCACAATTTGCAAGGTCCTTCCATGAGGTTATGTAGACAATAAGGGATTTCTGGGAAAGTGGAGACTCTTCAGTGGAGCTGTCTACAAATTATGCAAAGAGATCCCGGGATGAAGCTTTTGTGAGTAGCCATCTAAGCCTGGAGGCTGGGGACAGACATGCTTTTTAGTGATGCAGCTTGTCTCCACATCACCTGTCTCCTCTAAGCAATCCCAGTAAATCCATTGGGTCCCCAAGCTGGAGTCTTGTGTAGAGTCTGATGTGTTTGTCTTCTCTATCTGCAGTGAATAGAAATACTCTCCTGGGGGAAGTGATATAGCTATAGAGTCATGTGGTCCTCTGTAATAGCAACTGTAACTTAGCTGTAGCTCACAGCAAACAATGGTCCCTTCCCCTTCCTTTCCCATTGCCCCAGGTAATGGTCACACAGTGTGTGCTACTTACCCAAATACAACAGAGGAAGGGCTGAGGTCCCCCACGGCATCCCAGGTACAAGAGAGTACAAGGATGATTCCTGCTGCTGACTCTGGCCTCAGAATGAATGTCCTGTGGGGCATAAGTTGGGGTGGGTGAGAACAGAAGCAGCCAAAGAGGTAGGTAGTGGGGACAGAAATAACATCACTACTTACTGGGACCTTTTGTCTCCTCAATTACATTTAATAGCTCTTTATCTTGTGAACTTGGTTCCTCTTGGCAACAGATGCTTGGAGATTTGAAGACAGGAACAACTCTCTTTGAGCCTAACACATCTGCTTTTTTTTTTTTTTTTTTTCCTAATCTTATTTTTTTCTAACCATCTCTCCTGTCTTCTTCCTCTTTCAAGATATGGAAGACTGGATTCTCTCTAGTATACAAGGTGGTCTCAAAAACAGTTGGGGACTATTGGGGAACTAGGTATGGTTGCTATGGAGGTCACTTTATGTCTACATTGAAGGAGAAGATAATGGAGTTTGAACTGGAGTGGAAGATAGTGAGAAATGGACACAGATTTAAGAGAGATATGTGGAGTTTAGGTGATATCTCAGTTAGTAGAGTGATTGCTGTGAAAGCATGTAGACTTGCATTTAAACACCCAGCACCCAGAGGAAAAGCTAAGTGTAGCAGAGAGCTATAGATAGATAGATAGATAGATAGATAGATAGATAGATAGATAATAGGTGGCAGATAGATATATAAATAGATGATAGATAGGTAGATGTTAGGTAGATAATAGGTGACAGATAGATTGTATAGATAGATGATAGATAGGTAATAATAGATGATAGGTAGGTAGGTAGATAGATGATGGATGGATAGATAGATAGATAGATAGATAGATAGATAAATCGATCGATAGATCTCAGTGTTCAGAGAGAAGAGACAAAGGGATCCTTGGAGCTTGCTAGACAGAAAGCTCAGAAAAAACAGAGAGCTGCAGGTTCAGTGAGAGACCCTGTTTCAAAAAATAGAGTCAGGCATAGTGGTACATACTTTTAATCCTAGCACTTGGGAGGCAAAGGCAAGCAGACATCTGTGAGTTCAAAGTCAGCTGTGCTACATAGTGAGATCCTGCCTCAAAAAAAAAAATAATTGGTAGAAACCAATTGTGCTGGTTAGTTATAATTGTCAACTTGCCACGACCTAAAAGCACTTAAGGGGAGAGTCTCACCTGAGGAACTGTCTAGATCAAGTAGGCCTGTGGAAATGTATTTCGGGGGCTGTCTTCACTGTTGGTTCATGTGGGAAGACCCAACCCATTGTGGGTGGCACTATTCCTTAGGCAGGAAGTCCTGGGCTATATAAGGAAGCTAACCAAACATGAACAAGGTAGGCAAGCAGGTGATGTGAGGGCACTGGATTCTCTCTGCTCAATAGTGGATGTGATGTGACAGTTCCTATCTTGACTCCCTTGAAATGATGGACTAAACCCTGAAATTATCATGGAGCTACATCTTCAGCCTCTGGGGCCGAACTCTTGATGGGTCTGCCTCCACCTCTTGAGTGCTAGGATTGTAGATGTTCACTACCATGCCCAGTTTAACATTGTTGGGGATCGAACCCAGGGTTTTGTAACTGCTAGGGAAACACCCTATGAGCTTGCTACATCTCCAGCTCTATTTTCCTTCTTGTTCTTTTAAATAAATATTTTCATTTATTTTATGTATGAGTGCTTTGCCTGCATGAATGTCAATGTATTTCTTCTGGTGCCTGTAGAGGCCAGAAGAAAGCACTGGATCCCTGGAACTAGAGTTGGATATGAGCTACCATACAGATGCTGGGAACCAGAATCATCCCACAAGAACATCATGTGTTTTTAACCACTGACCCATCTCTCCAGCCTCCCAGTTTTCTTCCTTAGAGACAGGGCACCACTATATAGCCCTGGATAACCTGGAACTCACAGGGATCTGCCTGCCCCTGCCTCTGGAGGGCTGGGATTAGAGACATATACCATCAAGCCAAGTTTTCATTTTTACAACAGGGCCTTACTATGTAACCCAGGCTACCCTGGCCTTACTATCCTCCTGACTCCCAATGTGACTTCCTCCTGGAATCTGCACAGCCCGAACCCCAGGCTCACGTCAGCACGCCTCTCTGATATCATTTCTAGGGCACTGAATCAGGCCGACCCTGGGCATCATACAAATGATGGCCACCCCTGGATTCCTCCTCATTATTTCAGATTTGCTTAGTCAGTCGCTTCCAAAGCTTCAAAAGAAAATCTCTAAAAGTTCTCCTAAAAACATGTCTATTTCCCTGGCATTTGGAGATGTCTGTTCAACACAGAGCCAAGCAGAAAACAGTTTCTATAAGTTTTATCAGCAGGGCTGAGTAGATGGTTCAATATTTAAGAGTGCTTCCTGCTCTTCAAGAGAACCTGTGTTCAGTCCAAGCGCCCATGCTAGGTGGCTCACAACCTGTAACTCCAGTTCCAGGGCATCCAACTTCCTCTTCCAACACACAAACACAGCATATACCGATTCACACACACACACACACACACACACACACACACACACACACACACACACACGAATTTCTAAAAGTTATTATCAGCAAACAAAAACATCTACTCACCCCTCTGCTTCCCATCACAAGTGAGCTTCAAAAACCTGCTTTTTGAATATCATTTTAGTTCATAAGATTCCAGGGTCTCAAATTGTAGAACAGGCTTGCCTAGAACTTACTATGTAGCTCAGGTTGGCTTCAAACTCATAGCAATCCTCCTGTTTTAGTCTCCCGAATACTCTGGTTATAGGCATGAGGGACCATTGTCAGATTGAGGAGTATTTTCTTGAACCCAATTTTCATGATAAAGAATCTCAGGAAGAGTGTTGAAGGGGATGTGTCTTTCCCTGAAGCAATAAATCCAGATGAGCTGCCTCATTATACAAAATTACCAGCCAGCTCAGCCTGGCTGATGAGACCGGTGAGAGACCCAGTCTCAAAGGTGACGGTGGGTGATGGCATTCCTGGGGATGGCACGTGTGGTGTCTTGAGTAAGAATGGCTCCCATAGGCTCACATATTTGAATGTTTGTTTCTCAGTGAAAATGTTTGGAAGGATCAGGGTGTGTAGCCTTGGTGGAAGAGGTATTTCATTGGGGGGGAGGAGCACTTTGAGACTTCAGAAGCCCACACCAGACCCCCGTGTCTGTCTCTTTATCTCTCTCCTTCTCTGTTTCCCTGACTCCTGCTTTCTGCCTGTGGACCAGGGTGTAAAAAAGCTACCTTCCCATTGCTGTTCTTGCCTGCTTCCAATCATGACAATCATGTATTCGCCTTCTAACTAGCAAGCCCCTAGTTCAATGTTTGGTTATGGTGTCTCTTCCCAGCCCTAGAACAGCAACTAAAACAGTACCCAAGATTTTCCTCTAACCTTCGCATGTGTGTACACACATGGACCATGGAACCCTCCACATACATACCCACATTAAAAATAAAGAAAACAAGGTGAAAAAAAGGTAAAATATTTTCTAATCTCCTTTGGGTTATGAGTTGAATTGTATTTTTCGTGTGTGTGCGCGCGTGCGTGAGCGTGCAGATGCATGTGGTGGATGTGGGATCTCTGGAGCTAGAGTTACAGGTGGTGGTGAGCCCTCTGACATGGGCACTGGAAATCCATCTCTCGAGATCTGCAAAAGCAATGTTTATTCATAACCACTGAGCCATCTCTCTAGCCCTTACTTTTGACTTTTTGAGACATGGTTTCATGTCTCAAACTATGTGACTGGGCCTGAAATTAACCACTGATCCTCCCAGGCCCATTTCCCAATGCTTAGATTACATGTTACAAAGCTCATATCAAAGGGTAGAAACATTTTGTGCTAACTCCTGCAACTCGCGGCTGAATGACTTCAGGCAAGTCCTGCCCAGATCTCCTTATTTTCCTCACCTGCAAGCCGAGAGCTGTTCTTGGGGCTCTCTTTCGTTTGTAGAGTCTCAATATGTGGTCAATGTGTGGCTGAGAAGGATCTAGAATCCCCACTGTAGTCGTCTGGCCTTGACCTCCTCCGGATACCAGCGTTCGTGTTTGAATGCTGGTGGAGACCAGAAGAGGGCATTGGATCCTCTAGAGCTGGAGGTACAGGCAGTTGCGAGCCACCTGACTTGGGAACTGAACTCCAGTCCTCAGCAAGAGATGTAAGCACTCTTAGCTGCTGAGCGGTCTCTCCAGTGCCAACAGCAACTCCTTGTCCCTCCCCTCAATTTCTTCTCCGATTCTACCTCCTGGTCTTGGTTGCCTAGGGCTCCAGGCTCCTCAGCAAGCCTCTTCTTGGGTATCCCAGTGAAGCTTTGAGGACAGTATCCAGTGCGGGCCTGACTTAAGTTCCAGAGGGACAAACTGATGGGGTTGATTTAAGGACACAGTACCCCCACCCTGATGAACCCACAGGAGGAACGACACTGCACAGAATGCGAACGACAAGGGTTAAGGAACCGTAACTGATTAGTTCAGATATTTTTTAGAAGCCCCGCCCATACAGGTACCAACGAGCGGGCGCGTGCCTGTTCAGAACAATTCAGTCTGAAGGTGCCAAGTGCGAGTCTATGGGGCCACCAAAAAACAGAGGATTTCCCTCTTCCGATCTGGTCCTTTAGCAATCAGCACTAGAGTTAAAAGATACTTTTTTCTTGAGCAGGTGGTTCTAGACTCTGCAAAAGCTGGATATTCCCACCTCGATCCATACAAATAGGTGGTGGGTGGAAGATAGAGATCTAGGAACAGATAGATGCCTGTTCAAGCTTGACTCCCATAGCCAATCAGAAGACATTGTGTGTGCGCCTTTGTTTTCTACCGTGTGACCTAGTCATCCACAACCAACCAAACAAGACTTGGAAGGAAGTCCAGACTCTCCCTCCCACATCTGAGCCCTCCCTGACCTATTTCCAACGTGGCCAATCGTTTCTCCTTTGTTCCTTTTGTTTTGAGTCAGGATTTTAATCATTAGCCAAGGCTGACCTGCTTCTGGAACTAGGTGTGTAGCCCAGGATGGCTTTAAGCCTGAACAGCTGGGATTACCGGCATGTTGAGCCACCACACTTTGCTTTTCTGTCCCTCCTTTGACCTTATTCTCCTCTCTTTTGCCAACCCTACCAACAAGGCTTGCTCTCTCTCAACTTGTGAAAGACCCCCACTATGCTTATTGCCTGTTTAAATTGCTCTTGCTAATTTGCCAAGGTCAAGTTATGAGAAAAGTACAGGAGGGAACCAGGTGCTGCTCTCATCCAAACCCAACCAGATATCTGTGGTCTGCAGCTTGGACCAAAGCAAGGTCAGCAGGATGGTATCCGGGATACTGAGATAGTCATAACTGAATTCTTTGTATTCTTTGTGCCCAACCCGAATAACCAACTGTCCTTGGTTAACTACAACTGCTACATTTAGATGAAACAATGAAATCCCTGTAACCATGCTTCTGCTTCTGTAAGCCTGCTTCTTGCCACCCCAACCCTATATAAACTGCCTGAGTTTTAACCTCAGCACGCTCAGTCCCCCGAAAGACTGAAGCGTCCACAGGTACCTGTGTAAACAATAAACAACCTCTTGCACTTGCATCCAGTGGTCTGGTCTCGTCTCTTGGGGGCAAGGGCCTTCCCCCCTGACAGGCTCCAAACTCTTGGGGTCTCTGGGGGTCTTTCACTTGTACCCTGGTCCCTCTGAGGGATTTGTTTCTTGGGAAGAAGCAAGCTACTGCAGAAGGTTCTACGTTCATTGATGGTAATATAGCTGTTTCTTTCCTCTAAATTCAAATGGCTCCACTAAAGCACAGGAAGCGTAAGTCCCGTGGGCTCCTGACACACAAGATTTACAAGGCCCTCCTCCGAGATGACGATGATGTGTGTGTGCGCGTACATACATACACACACATGTACCTCAGTGACTGCTAGGGAGGAGACTCTTTACTGCCCCATTGCCTGTAAGCTGTGCAGTGAGCCCCAGTCATCAATCGCCCAGGAGTGAGCTTTGTGGCGGTGCAGCCACCCGCCCGAGGCATCCATACTCATGGAAAACCTCTTTCGTGAGCCAAGCTAGGCTTGGGTGCATCTTTGGTATGCCATTGGTGCCCTCATTGCGGTGAATAGATGTTTCATGTTCGGGCCTCCTTGGGAAAAGTAACTCAACACCTATTTATACACAGATTCATGCAGATAAATCTTCACTGGGACTGGAGAGATAGCTAAGCAGGTAAAGGCACTTGCTGTCAAGCCAGATGACCAGTATGATCCCCAGGACCCACAGAGTGGAAGGAGAGGACCACCTTCACAGTTGTTCACTGACCACCACATGTGTGTACACACACAGGATAAATGAGATGTAATAAAAAAAAAAGCCACAGTGATATGAACCCACTTTTACAAATTACAAAGACCAGGGCAAATAACCCTCCAAGAGTGGGGATGAAAGCTAAACGTGGGGCTTGGAGAGATGACTCGGAGGTTAGCAGCTCTTACAGAGAACTCATTCAGTTCTCAGAGCCTGCATTGGGAGCTGCCTGCTACTACAGCTCCAGTGGACCCAATGCCCTCTCTGGGCTCTAAAGGCTCTCTGTCTCTCTCTCTCTCTCTCTCTCTCTCTCTCTCTCTCTCTCTCACACACACACACACACACACACACACACACACACACACACCGTTAAAAAATAAATCTAAACTCACCAGAGTGCTTGGGGTTCTACAAAGTCTGGCCCTTCAGAAATAAACTTACACCCCCTCACCTTGGCCTACTTTGTACTTGAACTTATGGCATCTCTTCAGTCCAATCCTACAGCCTTCTGCTTCTTCTGACTGACTCAGGTCTCTATACTGAAGGGATCAGTGTTGGCACAAGACATCCCAAGACCAAGTTCTCAACACAAAGATTGATTTGCCCAAGAGAGACAAAGGGCAGGGAATAAAAGACAAACCAGGCAACAGAGGATGAGGCAGAAGAGAGAGAGAACAAGGGAGATGGGGGAGGGGACAAGGGAGATGGGGGAGGGGACATCTGTCCTTAGGGACAGAGGACTGCCTCTGGGTAGAGGGGAGACAGACATGGTAGGCAAATGGCAGTTTATAAAGGTAAAAGGGGAAACCCCGTGTTAGGATGAGGTGTTTAATTTTAATTGGCCATGTTAATTAGGTGAAGCAAAGGGACCCTTTGATTGATGGACTTCAATACATTGATAGCTGGAGCTTGGTAGTTAACCTCAGGAGGAGGAAGAAGCCAAATAATAGAATAGCCTTGGTGGCTAGCTTAGGAAAGCATCTAATGGTTTTTAGCAAGGCAGAGGGATGGAGAGAAGGGCATGCTCAGGGTGGTTAGAGTCCCTCCAGGTGCCACTTCTCTTTCTCTTGAGGTGCCTTCTCTGACTCTGATTCAACTTGACTCCTCTCATGTTCTTGTTTATAGTATTCTATCCACTTTACAAAATCAACTGTGTGTCTATTTTGTGTGTTTTGCTTGTATGCACTGGTTGATGCGTATCATGGGAACACGTGTGTGGCATTGTCTTGTTGATGTAGAAGGGACCAGTCAAATGCGGATGGCACTGTGCCTAGTCAGGAGGTCCTGGGATGCATAAGAGAGCTAGCTAGGCATGAGCCCGGGAGGGAGCCAGTAAGCATCATTCCTCCATAGTCTCTACTTTAGGTTCCTGCGCTGACTCAGTGATGGACGGTCAATTGGAAGTGTAAGCCTAGTAAATCCTCCCCTCTCCAGATTGCTCTTAGAGTGTTTTGTCATGACAATAGAAGGAAACAACACAACATTCCATGGTACCACTGCACCCAACTCCTCCATGTTCCTGTCAGCAGCTCTAACAAATTCATTTATTTGGTCAGGTTGGACATATAGGAATCTTTGCTTTAGTCTTCTTGGAGGGATGGACACACATTTCTTTTACTTCTTTCCAGGAAAGACATGAAACACCAAGAGACATCACAGTATTCAGCTCAGTAAGCTCACTGCCTCTGCCTTACCTCTGCCCCTCCAAAGACACTCAGAGAACAATCTTTCTCTATACATTGTTCACTCCACTTCTTGGCTTCAAACCTTGCAACAGCTCATATTAATTAATTAAGTAATTCATTCATTCATGTGTCCACATAATTCACAAACAGTTCTGCATGCATCTTAGATCTTAGGCACCATTCCCAGTCCTGGTGACAAAGGAAGGGACAAGACAGGCAAGGAAAAGACATTCTGAGGGCTGGAATGTGGCCCCATGGCATAACTCTTCCAGTGTTTTATCTTCGAATGCAAATTCTTCATGGCATATTTCCTCCACCCATGGCTCCAGGTACCGCTTTTTACAACCCAGTACATGCTATGTGAGCCTACTGGTTTGAGGCAGAGATGAGGATGGGAGGTATTGTCCAAAGGTTTCATCTACTAAGCACTTAAATTGAAATCAGATTAAATATAATGGTGTGTGTGTGTGTGTGTGTGTGCGTGCGTGCATACGTGTCTGTCTTTCTGCCTGTGGAACTGGTCATGAAGAAAGGGATTAAAATCCCTTGTTTCACAGTGCCATGTGCATTCATTTTTCTCTCCTGTGACTCTGCCTCCAAGTGAGACATGTATTTTTTTGGCTCACCCAAACAACAAATCATACAGATGACCTTTAAAAGTCCTGAGCCCAGGCTCAGTGGTAGTCCTCACACCTTGGAGTATATGGGATATGTAAAGGCTGAGAGGGCTTTGTGAACTCAGATTCACAGGACCTCAAGTTTATTATGGAATTGGGGTTTCTGGGGTCTCCGTGGATTTTTGTAGTTCTGGGGATAATGGGAACTTTGGAAGTGATGCAGTTTCCACAGGCTTCGTTGGCTTCGGGTTATCTTCCTTTCCCTGGAAGGTGAGAAGGCAAGGCAAAGAGAGATGATGGAACAGATTTACAGGTGAAGTAACCACACCTGAAGAGGAACGCTGGGGAAACATGGATCGCAAGTTAGCTTAACTTTCCTGACAATACCATGCCTGGAGCCTTACAAACGTCTCCCTCTGGCCCCTCTCTGGTGCGACCAGGAGGTCAGGTTCCTGAGATGTTGCATATGATGGCTTCAGGCAAGTGTTCCCCCAATTCTGTGTCACCCTAACCCCCTGTCTCAGTCTTCTCTCTGCGAGGACACCTTTCCCTACCAGCTTGGTTACTCTCTGAGGGCAAGGGCTAGGTCTGATCAATTCCTGGGACCCCATGCTGCCCAATGCAAACTAGAGAGCAGAAAGAAGACATAAACTGGGAACAGTCTATAGAAACTTAAGCCTCCCACCACCACACCCTACACCCCATTTTCTACAACCAGGCTCTATCTCCTAAAAGTTCCACAATCTTCCACAGCACCAGCAGCAGCAGAGAAACAAGTGTTCAAATCACATGAGCTAACCTGGGTGGGTGGTGGTGGTTCATATTCAAAGTACCATCCACAAAGGGACATTAGCTCTGTGAGCAGGATATTTGGATGGAGATGGTGAGTGGTATGAATCACTTGGTTCCTACTTGATGGCACTGTTTGGGAAGTCTGGTCTTCCTGGAGGACATATGTCACTGGGGGCCACCTTGAAGTGTTGATAGTCCCATGCCACTTACTACTGCCCGCGCTTGGATTCTAACTTGCATTCGAACATGTGAGCTGTCAGCTTCCTGCTCCTGATGCCATGCCTGCCACCACCACCACCACCACTACCACCACAGTGGACTCTTAACCCTCTGGAACCATAAGCCCAAATAAAGCCTTCCTTGGTCTTGGTGTTTGATCACAGCAACAGGAAAGTAACTAGTGGCAGCTGGATGCCTATGGTCCTGGAGATTCACAGGTGGCCAATAAGAATGAGGCTTGCCATTCTCCATCACTGTTCCAGCCAAGATGTCCTGGGATTGTAGGGTTCAGGGAGAAGGAAGGCAACCTGGTGTTAACAGTTTGGATGTGGAATTAGACACAGGCTCCTTGTGCTGAACATTTGCTCTCCAGATCTGGTATTGTTTGGGAGGTGGTGGAATCCTTGGGGCTGGATGAATGGCTGGCACAGGTGACTCAATGAGGGGGAACCTTTGGGAGTTATAGCCTGGCCTTCGTCCTGCCTGAGCTCTTTGCTTCTTTCTTCCTTTTGTGTTGCTTTTAAGATGTGTGTTTTTATTTATGTGTCTGTTTGAGTAGGTGAGCAATTGTGCAGAGGCCAGAAGAAGGCATGGAATCTTCTAGAGCTGGAGTTATAGTCAGTTGTGGGCTGTCTGACATGGGTGCTCTAGAAAGAGCAGGAAGTGCTCTTCACCACTAAGCAGTCTCTCCAGCCAGAAAGGGTTAATTTTGGCCCACACTTCAAGGCACAGTTCATCAAGATGGGGAGCTCCAGGCAGCAGGAGCTTGGAGCAGCTGCTCACATCACAATCACACCCAGAGCCAGGAAGCACAGCAATGAACCTATTTATGCATGGCAGCTAGTGTTTAGCTCAACCTCCCCACTTAACACTGTTCATAATCGCTGCCAGGGAATGGTGTCACCCACAGTGGGCGGGTCTTCCCACCTCAATCAGTCAATCAAGACAGGCCCCACAGGCACGTGTCCAGGGGCCCACCCTGGCACTGACCATCAGAGACTATGTCCCCTGAACCATGAACCTAACAAGTCCTTTACGTTGCTTCCGTCAGCTATTTGGTCACAGAGCTGAGATGGAAGACCTACCTAATCTCCAAGCATTGGTCCTGACTTGGGCCTTAGGCTGTAAGTGGCTGCTGCCTGCTGCACTCCAGAGGCCAAACATGTGCTTTCCACTCTGATGCTACCACTACAGCTGGGGGGGGGCATCAACCCACTTCCCAGCAGGGATTTAGTGTGTGTGTGTGTTGTTTGTACATGGTTACTCTGTGTGTGTTATGTGTATATGGTGTGTCTGTGTGTCTGTGTGTGTGTGTTGTGTAGTGTATGTGTGTTGTATGCATATAGTATGTACTATGCATATGTAGTGTGTATGTGTGTGGTATATTGTGTATGTGTATACATGTATGTTGTATGCATGTGGGATGTATGTGTGGGAAGGTGTGTGTGTGTGGTGTGGGGTGGAATAGTATTTTAACTATATAAAGATGTGCTACATTTGTTTATAACACAGTTGTTTATGTAAAGATGTGTTACATTTGTTTTACTTTATCTGCCTAAGGCACCTGATTGGTCTAATAAAAAGTTGCACAGCCAATAGCTAGGCAAGAAAGAGCTAGGTGACTGGTGGGCAGAGAGAATAAATAGAAGAAAAAGTCTAGGAAGAGAGAAGAATGAGAGGAGAGAAGGAGGGAGGAAGAGGGAGAGATGCCCAGGGCCAGCCAGCCAGGCAGTCACAAGCTAGCTAAATGGAGTAGGACGTACAGAAGGAAAGAAAGGTAAAAGTCCCAAGGCAAAATGTAGATGAAGAGAAACAGGACAAGCATAAGATAAGCCTGAACATTCATAACTAATTAATAAGTCTCATGCCATGATTTGGGAGTCGATTGGTGGTCCAAAAGGAAGCCTGCTACAGTGGTATATATGGTATGTGTGTATATGGTTTGTGTGCACACGTGTATACAGTGTGTATGGTGTGCCTATGTGTGTGGTGCATGTGTGTTTGTGTATGTGGTGTGCTTGTGTGTAAATGTGTATGTATGATATGTGATTACAGTGTATGTGTGTGGTATGTACAGTGAGTGTGTATATGTGTGTATGCTATATGCATATATGTGTGTGGTGTGTATGGAGTGTGTGTGTGCATGTTGGTAGGTATAATGATCCTTTGAACTGTATGTCTTAGTTTCTTCCATGAAGCTCTTCTGGCCTCAACTTTAGTACCTATGGAACAACCCTCAAGCTAATTGTGCATTAGCAGGTTCTAGGCTGGAGACTTTCTCTCCAAAGCAGCATGCAAGCTTCTCCCACTAACACTGTTCTGCTAGACCAATTCCATTCTGGTGCAGGGGGCACTCACTGAGAGCTGCTTCCCAGAAGGTGACTCAGTCCTGGATTCCCTAGGCTCCTTGGGCTTCACACTGGATTCTGCGTCTGTGTCAGCCTTGGAGGCCATCTGCGCTCCCATCTGTGCATACTTCTTTGCCTGCTGCGTCCTGAGAAGTTTCACTCTAAGGAAATGTGTTTCTGGTCAGTTTTCTGATTTCCTGCCTCTGCATCCCCACATGGGCCCTGGCTTTGTTCAGCACTCAAATCTGGAGGCTCAAAAGTACTGCCTGCTTCCTGTGTTATCTTGAGAAAGACCCTCAACTTCTCTGCAAGTTGGCATCACATTGTGTGTAATCAGGATTCCCTGCCTGTGTGTAAACAGGCCATGGGCTTCAGATGGGCCAGCTATGAAGGGTCCTTGCACCCTGTAGAGATTGTAATTCACTGAAGTTAATTTATTTGTTGTATGAAGGAGTTGGGATTTTTCAAATTAAGCTTTTAAAACCTTTTAAGCTTATTTATTTTTATTTCGTGTGTGTGTGTGTGTGTGTGTGTGTGTGTGTGTGTGTGTTGTCTCAGTGTATGTCTGTGTACATGTGTGCCCTTAGAAGCCAGAAGAGGGTGGCAGATCATCAGGAGCTGGAACTACAGATGGTTGTTAGCCAACACGTGAGGGATGCTAGGAACTAAACCTAGGTCTTCTGCAAGAGCAGCCAGTACACTTAATTATTGATCCATCTCTACAATTCCTTTTATTTATTTATTTGCTAGCATGCTTGCTTATTGAGTCAGAGTTTCATGTAGCCTGGGCCAGCCTTGAACATTAAGGATGATGAATGTCCCTGAACTTCTGATCTTCCTGTCTCTATCTCCCGAGTGCTGGGATTATGGGCATGCACCACAACACTTGGTTTATGCAGTGCTGAGGATCGAACCCAGGGCTCTCTGTGTGCTAGGCAAGCACTGAGTGATCCCAACCTGTGTTTGCCTTTGAATCCAGCTCCTCTCTCTGCTGTACCACTTTGCTCCTCTTCTTCCTCCTCCCCTGACAGACAGCTACTCAGTCCCAGTCTCCATCCTTCTCACTGACAGATAGGGTTAGCAGGGTCAGGAGCTGAGGCCCTTATGAAAGCTTCTGTGGCTTGGTGAGAAGCTTACCTTTGCTTATGTAACACAGCCAGCACCATGCTCTTGTACTCCCTCAGCCCCCCAGAAGCCTGAGCTAAGTAAACCTCTGTGCTTCACAAATTAGCTCGTCGAAGACATTTTGTTACACAGCATAAAATGGGCTAAGACATACTCACATGAAGGGGAGGAGGCAGAGGAAAAGTAGTGTGGTTGCCATGGCTGCATAGGCAACACCCTGGAGCAGTGCTTTCAGGAAGATCTGGGGAGCCAAAGGGCCCCTTCCTGGAAGTAGAAGGCATTTCAGTAAGGCTTTATTTTTTTTTATAAGCAAAGGTGTTTTAAAATTACATTTGTGTGTGTGTGTGTGTGTGTGTGTGTGTGTGTGTGTGTGTGTGTGTGGAGAGGGGGGTTGCATGCACCACAGTGCGCATGTGGAGCTCAGAGGGCAAGGTGCAGTAGTCTGTTTCCTTCCCCCACCATGTGGCACCTGAGGATTGAACTCAGGTTCCTGTTGAGCCATCATGTACACCCTCAGGAAGCCTTCCTTAAGATTCAGATTCTGGCCTCAGTGCTAGTCCCTCTGTTCACTGCCCTCACCCAGTCCCCCAGTCCCACCCTCACTCGACATCAGTAGGATGCTCAAACCATGGGTTCCATGTTGGTTCTTTCCCTCACAAAGAAGGACTGTGCCCATTTCTGGGTCCTTGACCAGGCTGAGGGTGCTGTTGTCCCAGGGACCAAGTGTGGTAGAGGTCACCTGGAGGTGACCATGCCCACTGTTCACTTGCAGGGGAGCACCATCCATCCACCACTGCACAGAGGGTGTGGGGATCCCGTGAAAGGAACAACTGCATTGCAGTGTCTTCTCCACGACACAGAAAGAGTTGAACAGTCTGGCGGGTCCTGTGAAGAGGGAGGATCAAGGGTCAGCAAGGTGACCTGACTTTCCCTCTTCTTCTTCCTTAAGGACACAGCCTTCCTTTCTCCATTTGCCACACTGGGGATGAAACGCAAGGCCTCCCACATGCTAGATAATGCTTTACCACTGAGTCCCACCACAGCCCCTTACTGGGGGATTCTGGGTAGGTGCTCTACTGCTGAGCCATGCTCCCAGCCGGTTACTTGAGGATTCTAGCAGGGGCTCCACCACGGAGTCATAACCCCAGCCTTCGTTGGGGGTTCCTAGACACAGAGATGGTGTCTGATCCACAGTTCCATCTGCAGCTTCCTCAGGCAGCGCTAGAGGAGCTTCTTGTCCCACTTACCCGGCTGTAGATGTAGATGTGGCATCCCCATAAGCAACAGACTTAGGATACTCTTCACAGTGAAGAATGGGGCAACTGAAATAAGATGAGGAGGTGGATGAGCAGAAACATCTTCACAAAGCGCTATAGAGGTGTGGCCTTGTGGGAGTAGGTGTGGTCTTTTTGGAGGAAGTGTGCCACTGTGGAAGTGGGATTTAAGGTCTCACATGTGCCCCAGCCAGGCTCAGTGTCTCAGGCCACTTCCTGTTGCCTACAAGTCAAGATGAAGGACAATCAGTTACTTCTCCAGCACTGTATCAGACTGCACGCCACCATGCTACACCATGATGATAATGGACTAAACCACCCCAATTAGATGTGTTTCCTTTATAAGAACTGCCATCATGGCCTCATGGAGGGACGGGATCAAGAGGCATGTATGTTTGGGATTCTTCCACTGAGGACATTTACGAAATGGCCAGGTTTGGAATGACTGTGGGCCAGTTGGCCAGGGCAGAGAGCTCTATTGTTACTAAGAAAGGATGGTGTCCTTGAGATGAAATGCAAAGGACAGGGGTGGATTTAGACTTTTGGTGTTCCTTTCATTGTCCAGAAATGCATGTGACTAAATCAATCCATAAATTCACGCCAGAGATGGTGGCTCACACCTGTAATCGCGTCACATGGAAGGCTGCCTTTGGAAGACTGTTGTAACTGGCTGTGTAGACCAGGATGGTCCCTGGCTCCTGAGTGCTGGATTACAGGAAAACCAACCAGAGGATGATTGATTATACTCCCCACAGAGAGATGACACCCAAGCTCCCCAGTCATAAGTGATTCTTAATTTCACACCAAACATGAGCCTCATTTTTGTTCTATCAACTTTTGTCTTCCTTTGTTGCCAACTTAAAACCTCATTCTGGATGTTGGAATGAGCCCAACATGGGTCCTGACTTAAGCTTTGCCAATAAACCACCAAATAAATCTGGGCAAATGTCATCCCTTTTCCCATTCCACATGGGTGCGGTTGATTGCTGGAGATGTAGTGATCGGCCTGGCTTTACAACTCTGATTTCTTCTTGCTCTTCTCTGGCTTTGAGGAGAGTAGGTGGGATGGCTACTAACGGATCCCTTTTGATTGTCCCCTGATCATCACTTTTCTTCACTTGATATCTTGTTCTCCAAATTCCATGACATTCTTTTCCTTTCTCACACTTCCATTTATCGGTTTCCCATCTCCCTCTAGGGAGCCAAGTGCTCTCCAGTTGTTAGATTTTGCTTTGTTTTGTTTTACAGTCTTAGGTAGGCAAGGCTGGCCTTTCTATATAGCAGAGGGTGACCTTGAAATTCTGGTTCTCCTGCCTCCACCTCCAAAAGCTAGGATTATACGTGTGTAATTAGGACTAATTTACTGGAGACAAGTGGGAGCCGAATTAATGGATGAACCTGTCAGTTATGACAGAGATGGATTATGGGATTAACTGATTTGCAAGGGAGCCAGTGGCTAACTCACATTGGCACTAACCTGATAATGAACTCCCATGCTTTTTGTTTGTTCTATTAGGAGAATGGTGATACACTGGCTTCTTTTCAGGCTACGTTGGTAACACACTGAAGGTGGTGGCATGCTGACAGGACGAAGTGAGAGAAGATGGGACAAGCAAGTGATTTGAAGGGTAAGAGGTTGACTAGGTGACTGTCGGGCTGGGGTGGGCAAGGTTAACAGCTGACTGAGAGGTGAAAAGCTGATCGGTGACTGAGAGTGATGTAACAGGCTGACTAGCACAGAGTAAACGGACTAAAGTGGCACCTGGTAAACTGACCCGTGTTTAGTCGCCGTCTGCTGGTCCAGATCCGGCCTTGGACGAACCAAGGGGCTCGCGGTACCTCGGTGATGAAGAGCTGCTTAACTGCCCTGTGGCTGTCTCGTGAGAAGTCCAAGGACATGCTGTCTGGGGACTGCTTGACTAAGGGAAGAACTCCACGTCCACGGAAGCCCAAATGTGGAGAGTCTCGACACACAAGAATCCTACCGAATCTCTCATAGGCCCAGGCAGCCAATCATATTCTGTCTGCCAGGCTAGAGTGCCACAGGAGGGCTGCGTGACTGTCTCTGATGCGCAATGCATCCTGTGCATGCCTGCCTGCCTGCCTGTCTGTCTGTCTGTCTGTCTGTCTGTCTGTCTGTCTACAACCTGGTGAAGTATGAACATCTTACCCAGCTGCCAACGAGTGGCTGCGTTCCTATGCTACAGCCAATAAGTGAGGTTACGAAGCTTTGCACTGTGCGCTTGTCTCTGGAAGTTGGTGCAAAGTCATCACAGTCAATCAGGAGCTAAACATGCATGCCCCACCCTTCTTTGGGTGGCTCTGAGCCAATCAGGAGCTGCTGCAAGATGCTGGAAATTTGGCACCAGTTTCCTCCACAAGGCCTTTCTTGAGTACTCAAGCACACCATACTTGAGCTTCCGACTCTGCTCACTCCCTTTCCTGTTAGTTAGCCCTGCTATTCTTCTACTTTACTCACTGCAAACTTTCTGAGCCATGATTTCACATTTTCAAAAATGCTTTTCAGACACTCAGTTATATTGCTCAGTTATGTTAAATTTGCATTGGCTGACTATCCCAGTTGTCTCCTCTGGTTGAAATAGTGACTATGCTTCGTACTCTTTGATGAGTACAGTTTAACCATGGGCAGGTTAAAAGAGCGGGACATCAGGGTTCGGATGCTAGGTCTTTGCTTAACTTCCTCAGATGCTATCAAGTCGGTGAACACTTTACAACCTGCTCCATATCATGACTATGAGAATAGTTATTTTTAAAAAATTAGCCACTCTGGTGTGCTTGTGTGTGTTTGATACTTGCTCACTGAGATTTGAATTTGCATCAGCCTGAGAAGCAATGTAATATTGTCTTGCATTCTGTTTTAAGCAATTTATCACCATTATTATTTTATTTATGTGTGTGTGTGTGTCCATGAGTGAATGTCAACCATGTACAGGTGCTCATGGAGTCCAGAAGAGGACTTGATCCCTTGAAAGCAGAGTTAGAGACAGTTGGGAGCTGCCTGTGAAGAATGCCAAGAACTATTGTGACAGAGTTTTCCTGAGGAGACACACACAGACGTCTATTCACTCCAGAAAGGGAGTCTGCAATAGACCAAAGTAGCAAGTGCACCAATGCCCAGTTTGGTGAATCAATGAGTTTGTTTTATTGCATTACTAATAGGAGCATACATGAAAGTGAATGTTTACTGCACATTTTACATTTAAAGGCCAATTTTTAGTGTTACACTCAAGCAAACACCACACACACACACACACACACACACACACACAAACACACACACACACACACACACACACACACGAAGGCATCAGCACCTCTGGAGCTGGAGTGGCAAGGCATTTTCAGCCAATTGTCCAAAAGAAACTGACTTGGATCCTCTACATAAGCAGCAGGTATTCTTAACCAATGAGCCATGTGGGATGTCGAGCAGAGACCTCCTGCACTTAAAATTTAATGTAAACAAGCAAATAACTTTTTAAATGACTCTGGAATTAGGCTCTAGTAAGTAGCAGTAAGATGTAAGAAAAGAATGTAAAACCCCAATTTTAAACCCTATTCCTGTGTAAGCAGCATTCCCAAGTTTGAATTTCCTTTTTAAACAAAATTTAATGGCACTTAAAATTAGACAAAAGAGTTAAAAGTATGAATGGACAGGCTGGAGAGATGGCTCAGTGCCTAAGACCACTGGCTGTTCTCCTAGAGGATCCAGATTTGGTTCCCAGCACCCACATGGCAGCTCACAACTGTCTGTAACTCCAGGCCCAAGGATGTGTCACCCTCCTCTGATCTCTGTGTGCACAGACATAGATGCAGGTCCTTGTACACATAAAAATTTACAATAAATGAATCTCTACAAACATGAATAGAAAAATAAATGAATAACAGCACAATGAAGAAAACCAGGTAGGGTCACTGGGCATGTTGATTCAAGTTTGTAATGTCAGCTTGTGGGTGACTGAGGCAGGAGGATTGTCATGAGTTCCAGTTTGGCCTGGCCTCAGGAGTGAGACAACAACAAAACTCAAAAATTCTAAAACAAGAAACTAAAACAAAACAAAACATGAAACATAAAACCAGGTGAGAGAAACCATTGGCATCTGTAAGTAGAAGTTGGGTGTCTTTTTAACAGCCCACAGGACACACCACACACACACACACACACACACACACACACACACACACACACACGCACACACACAAGCCATCCAGCTTCAGATGACAAAATATGACAAACATTGAGGTCAGTGCACCTTTCCCCAGTCCAGCCTGTAGGACCGTGCACAGCCAGAATTGGAGCAGCTTGTCAGAGGACATGGTACATGATCCACTTAGAACTGACTTTGCAGAGGGGAGGAGAGGACTGGTTTCCATCTTCTGTGAGTAGGTACAGGTCTTCTGCTGAAGAGGGTTACTTCTTTCATATGTATCTCCTCCCTGTCAAAAATCAATGGCTGGAGGCTAGAGAGATGGCTCAGCAAGCACTGGCTTTTCTTGCAGAGCACCCACATGGTGATCTACAATCATCTGTAACTCCAGCGCCATGGGATGTCAAGCTGCCTTCCAGCCTATGCAAGCAGGCTGACTGTGTGTGCACAAACACACATGCAGGCAAAAAGACCAGGACACATAAAGTGAAAATTTCAAATTTGAAGTAAAAAATTGGTAGCTGTAGTTGTATGGGCTTTTATCTGGACCATGGTATTTGTGTCAATACCATGCTGGCTTTAATAGCAAGGGTCTGTAGCATTGATATGAAAGATGGCATCATCATGTCTCCAGCGGATTCTTATTCCTCAGGATTGACTATGTGGGAAATTTTGTGTATCTGTATGAATTTTTGGATTTAAAAAAAATTGTGAAGAATGGGGCTTCCACTTTTATTGACCTACAGTGAGTATGTAGATTGCTTTTGATAGGATGTCCATCCTCACAAGGCTAATTATTATAAAATATGAACATGGGCAGTTTTTCTGCCTTTTGGTATCTTCCTCTATTTCTTTAGTGTTTTAAAGTTTTCATATACACACCTTTTACTTCCTTAGTTAGGTTTATTCCAAATGCTTTTTAGGCTATTTTGAATGGTATTGCTCCCTTGATTTCTTTTTCAATATATCTGTCATTGGTATATAGTAAGGCTACTGATTTTCTAGAAAGCCACTGTACAGAAGGCTGTAGAAGGCACTCGGTGAGTAAACTGAGGACCTGAGTTTGGATTCCAACTACCTACATGAAGTTACATGCAACAGTATCTCATCAAAATATTGAAGTTCATGAAGAGGTAACCCCAGAGGCCCCTTGTTCAGTCAGTCTAGCCTAAACTGCAGGCTCCAGGGACAGACCCTGTGTCTTATTGCTGCGAAAAGAAATCATGGCACAGCAACTCTTATAAAGGAAACCATTCAATTGGGGCTGGCTTGAGGTTTAGTCCATTGTCATCATGGCAGGAAACATGGTGGCATGCAGGCAAACATGGTTCTGGAAAAGGAGCTTAGGGTTCTACATCAGGACCTGCAGGCAGGATCCTGGGCCTGGCTTGAGCATCTGAAACCCCAAAGCCCACTCCCAGCGATGTACTTCCTCCAACAAGGCCACACCTCCTAATAGTGTTGCACTCTGGACCTATGGGAGCCATTTTCATTCAAATCACCACATTCCACTCCTTGGCCCCAAGGACTTGTAGCCATATCATAATTCAAAATACATTTAGTCCATAATTCAAGATGCATTTAGTTCAACTTCAAAACATAGTCTATCATAGTATCAACACTGTTTAAAAGTTCAAAGTCTCTTTTGAAACTCAATCTCTTAACTGTAACCTCTATAAAATCAAAATAAAAAGCAGATCACATACTTCAAACATACAATGGCACCGGATACATATTACTATTCCAAAGAGGAGAAGAGGGAGCATATTGCGGAAATACTGGACAGAAACAAAACCAAAACCCAGCTGAGCGAGCTCCAAACTCTGTGTCTCTGTGCTCAATGTCAAAGAGCAATCCAGGTCTCCAACTCCTTTCAGATTTGTTGACTGCAGCACACTTCTTTCTCTAGGGCTGGTTCCAGTCCCTGTTAGCAGCTTCTCTTGGCAGGTATACCAAAATTCAGATATCTCCAATATCTCAGGACCTCCAAATCAGTCCAGGCTTCATCTCTACGGCTTCACAAAATGGCCTGTCCAGGCCTCAAAGCAGGGACACCTCTGACACATGCCTGGCCTCAGAAACTTTCCTTAGCCGTGGAAGGAGAGTCCATAACCCCTTTCTTGTATCCTTGGCTCTAAAGCCTGAGCTACATGGTTGAAGTTGCCAAGTTCTGCTGCTATCTGGGGCTGGAATGTGTTTGTCTCCTTGAACACAGGACTCCTGGTGCCCCTTTCTCATCACACTGTACATTTTGTATTTCCCTGCTTGATCTTTTACATTATAGATCTGCTTAAGACTGGCCACTAGTAACCAGGCAATAATCAATACTAGCTATCTGGAAATCTCTGCTGGCCATGTCAGTAATCCATAACTCCTCAATTTAACCTTGGGCAATTTTTTTTTGACAAGGACAGAAAACAGCCATATTCTTGGTCAAAATATCACAAGAGTGGTCTCTATATCACATACCAATACTATTCTCAAATCAAACCCCCAGGTTCAAATCACCCTCAGCATCACTGTTTTCCATGCTTCTACTATGATTGCCCATTAAGCCTCACTTGACATGCCCAATTGCTTTTCTAGTCCATAGTGTTACATATTCTTCCAAACAAAAGCATGGTTAATCCTGTCACAGCGATACCCTGGTCCCTGTTACCAATTTCTGTCTTAGTTAAGGTTTCTGTTGCTGTGGAAAGACACCATGACCACAGCAACTCTTATAAAGGATAGCATTTAATTGGGCTGGCTTACAGCAGTTCAGAAGTTTCGTCCATTATCATTATGTCTAGAAGCATGGCAGCACTCAGGCAGACATGGTGCTAGGGAGGTAGCTAAGAGTGCCACATCTGGATTGGCAGGCATCAATCAGGAAGTACCGGCGAGTGACAGTAGACCTGGTGTGAGCATCTGGAATCCCAAAACCCACCCAATAATGGTGATGATGATGGTGGTGGTGATGATGATAACAATAATACTATAACCATATCATAGAGAGCAATAGAGGAAGATGTGGAACTTTGACCTATGACCTACATACAAGTATTCATGGGCAAGAATACTGACACACACATGTGTATATTTATTCATGTGAGAGATGTGGGGAGGGAGAAATAGAAAGAGGGGTGAGGCAGGAGGAGAAAGGGGTCAGACCATTATTCTGAATAGGAAAATCAAAAATGGAGGAGGTAACCGCTGGTGTTGTCATACTGAAGAAAATGAAGGAGCCCAGGCTTGGCCACAGGTCTCTTAATGCAAAACCAGACAATTTCAACACACACAGAAGTTTAACCCATAGTCTGTTGCAATGGGAGGGATCCAGGAATTATCCTTGGGGAGCCACAGGGGACACAGCCGCTTCACGTGAGAGCTGCACTCCTGATAGTTCCTTGGTAGGTTTGATCTCTGGGTACTCCTGAGGCCTCACCCCCATGAAACCTGAGGGGGCCATAGTTCAAATACTGCTATCTTCCTAAGGCAAGGCCCCCTGTGAGGGTCTTAGATTCTCAGGGAGACTGTGCACCTTGGAGTCCTCTGGGTGAGTCTGTATGGAGAGGAAAGAAAAGCATCACAGTGGGACACATGGAGAGGATGCACTGAGAACAAAAGCATCTGTGCAGAACATCCATTATCATTAGACACTTGTTCACTGTCCTTCTACGAGGGGTTCCGAAGCTGTCACTTAGTCATTCACTGGTATGGGTGAGGACCTTCACGAGCTCACCCATCTAGTGCTCTCTACTCAGCCTAGATGTTTCTGAGTCACCGGGAGTATTGGGTCCACAGGAAGGCAGCAATGCAGACATGAAGACTTAGAGAGACGAAGACAGACCGGAAGAACAAAATGTGGTGGTGAGTGTGACTGCCATGTGAGTGAACTAGAGAAGGACTAAAGAACGGCAGTTCCCACAAAGCCCACCTTCTACCTGTGGGTCTCCATGTGGTAGAGACACCATGGCAATGTTGTCAGCACAGGCATGAGGTGCCTGTCACAGACAGGTCACGGAGCATCTTGGAGACACAGTATCATATGCTGTTGGATATTGGCAGTGATTATAAATTATGACCATTTCCTGCCTCTGGCTTACTGCAACATTTCTAATCCCGGTGATGTTTACCATGAGAGAAAAATAACACACACTCCATAGAAAGCAAGGAGGGAAGGAGGAGGACCAGGGTCAGCGTGGAGAAATGGGTAAGGGTGAGCTGAAGCATGAGGGAGAGAGACTAGGTGATCTTTGGTGGAGTAAGGAGTGAAAAGAACATGAGTACTGTACTCTGGATAGCAATGGGATCTCTGCTATAGAAGCATTGTGGGACCCAGCAGGAAGGTGATCTCAGGGTGGATGTGGGTAGCTGAGACAGGCCACTCTATCTATCACTATCATATTGAGGAAGGAGATGTGCCAGGCAATAACCCCGTGTGACTAACCGTGGCGGGACTTTCGTAGTCGGTGTGCACTGACAGCTTTACTCTCTTCTTCCTGCAGAGCATCACACTAAATGAGGAAACCAAGGCTTTCAGTGTGGGCCGTGGAGGGACAGTGTGAAACAATGCTCTCAATGTGCTCTGGCCAGAGACTTGAGAGAGGTGAAGAGACACGCCCAGCCACCACTACCACCTGACTGTTAAAATGAGTGTTGCTACATACACCAGAGTTGAGCACAGACATCCAGCCCATGTGCAGCCCCCTTCCCACAAACCGCTGCTTCCCTTGCTCTGCGCACCTCCCCCATCCCTGTCCTTCCCACGCCTCCTCCTTATCTCAGGGGCAGCACTCACCTCAGAAATATGAAACAGAGCCCAAGAAGCAGAACTTTGACAGATGCCTCCACCATAGCCACCAGGACCACCTCTGCCATGTGACCCAGTTTCCCTGTGGAAACACATGCACTGGACTGGCCTTACCTGGAAGACACAGCCCAAGGCCTTTCTCCCTCAGTAGGGCTTGGATATTTGGCTGCTTGACGGACAGTATCAAGAGCTTAAAAACACAACCCACTTGATGTCATAACTGTGATGAGTGAACCCCCCACCCCCAAGGACACAGAATGAACTCTCAACACATATCACAGGAAACCAAAACCATTCAGTTCACAAACAGCAGCAAGATCTTGAGATAGAACTTCTATCGAAAGATGTGTGAACGAGCAGCAAGCGCAGGAAAACACGTTTTCCTGCACTGTCACTTTAGCGCAGATGAAGACTACAGTGGGTCAGCTCTCTGCACAGCGGCAGGCTTGCTTTCCTAAGAAGGGAAGTGACCGCACTGGCGGGAGCGTAGGATGTGTGGAGCTCCTGTGTGCTGCCAGAGGAGATGGGAAGTAATCACTGTGGAGGTCTCTGGACACTCAGAATGAAGAGCAGATTTAGCATCTCCCTGGTGGTGATCTTCCTCCCGATGAGTGCCCAAGAGAGATGGACACACGCCCAAACAGGAACATGTGTTCCCTCCCATGGTTCCCACTAGTCCAGAGAAGAAATGACCACAGAGCCCATCTTCTAAACGGCAGCTGAGCAAGTGGGGTGTATGTAACATTGGGTGTGGTTGAAGTTATAGAAGAATGCAATACTATTGCTTGCCACAGAGATTAAGCTTGAACACAGGATGCTGGGGAGTAGCAGTCGGATGAACTCATTTCAAAAGGCTTCAATTTCTGTGCAAAGTGCAAATGCGGCAAATGCACAGGGACCATATCAAGCCGGTGTTTGCCAGAGAATGACAGTGTTGTAGGTGCAGAATTTCTATCTGGGGACATGCAAAGGTTCTGGAATGCCATGGTGCTCTGTATTGTATGACAGTAGTTAGTGATTAATACTGTACCCATTTATATAAAGAAAAAATTATAAGTGCAAACACAACAAGGCAATTTTAAGTTCTGCTGATGACAGAAATCCACAGTATTCTCAGAGGCCAGAGTGTGACTCAGGGCTCATCCCAGGATCAGTCTTCAGCACCAAAACCTCAAACAAGACGCTAGACAGGCGAAAACAGACCCCTTCATCTTTCTCCATGAGGAAGTCCCTTTGGCCACACTTAATTAAGATCTGCTTCTCAGTTAACTGTCAAATTCAGAAAGATGTGGGACTCAGCTGTATTTGAGAAGTAACCAAGGGCCATGTGCAGATGTCCAAAGCATTGAGGGGTTTGTCAGCACAGGTGTTCATATATCTTTATAGGCTGCGGTTGGGGAGGGGTCATTGGTTCTGTAGCAGAGTCCCTGTCTCCAGAGCAAGGAGAGATGGTTTGTGTGCTGAGACCACAGTAGCTCCCCCTACCTGGGCTAGCTATGAAGGGGACATGAAATAAAAGGTCCTGTACAACATCTTTTTGAGAAACAATTTCTATGTTGAGTTAAGCTGAGGGTGAGACAAGACGGGGCTTCCAATAACTGGTCAAGAGAGCCCAGACTGAAAAAGACAGGGTTCGTGTGTTTCCAGGACCCACGAATAGCCAGGCCACCAAGAAACAGCCACCATGAGCTCCTGCTTTATACGCAGGGCCTTGTTTCCCGATCTAACACTCACAAGTGACATGGAGCTGGATGGTCCTTTCCACAGTGACACCTGCTCCAGGGAAGGTCACCAGACAGGTGAGATTGGTGCCATGGTCCTGAAGCTGAGGTGTGAAGGTCAGCACTGAGGAGTTTGTGGTCCTGGGGCTCAAGGATTTGAGAGCAGCGGATATCCAGGAGAAGGTGGGGGGTGTCCCCTGCTCACAGGCCCAGGGCACAGAGCAGGTCAGGTTGCTAGGATGGCCAGCCTCCAGTGTCCCTGAGATCATGATGTCAGGGGTCTGTGTTAGAGCTGAAGGAGGGAGGAAAGGAAAGAGAGACAGAGAGACAGATATGAGCCATGGTAGAGACCTCCAAATGTACCCAGACAGCACACTCTGCCTCAGGATAGCCATCTTCCCTCACACGGGCCTGGATGTATGTCATAGGATCCATTCAGGATGAGGCACAACTACACACACACACACACACACACACACACACACACACACACACACACAGTGCACTGTGTGTGGTCGTACAATACTATTAGGTGACTTCATTGCTTACGGGCCACATTCAGTGAGAGCTGGCTTTTTCTGTAATTATATCTCGAAAAAGGTTCTGGAACTACTCCAAAGTAGTACACTCCCGTGTCACTTTTCTTGACATCTCTAATGAGGAGGGAACAGTCGTGTTTTTGTGGGTTCCCAAGGAGATGAAATCGGCCCTGTGTTGCATTCTGTACTAGTTGTCTGGGGTCATTTGTGGCCACTGGAGAGTCTTCATGTGGATTGGCCCCCTCTAGGAACCAAGAGCCAAAGACAGGTGCAGAATAGTGATTGAGGGGGTAGGAGAGACTGCAGGGCACATGGACACACAGGCCCTCCTCCACTGTCACTGATTTGGGCACCATCAGCCAGTATTGGTATCTTAGATTCCAAGCCAGGGACCCTGCAAAGAAATGAGAGGTGTCTTGGTTGGCCCCACCACTCCCTGTCCCAGCCCCCCCCCACTTACCTTCCCAAAGCAGGGGCAGTAGCAGTGGCCACAGCATAGCACGGTGAATGGTCCAGGGTCCCTACAAATGAGAGAAGAAGGAGGGCCGGGCAAGTGAAGCTGCTTGTCATAGGTGAGAGTCCCAGGCTTTTGTGTCACAGGACTAATGAAACCCCACTGGAAGCCCAGTAATGAAGTCAGGCAGAGAGCAGCTGACCACAGAAAAGGAACTTCCTGCCCATTTATTATCAGAGCTTTTGTGGAACTTGAAGACAAAACCCTTCTGCTTAGCACATACACTGATAAAGCTCTGCCCTCCACCTGTCACCTCTCACTCCACTGTCACCATCGGAGTATTAGATACTGTGTGACAAACCACAGCTTCTGGATGGTCTCAGTCTGGCAGAAGCAGGACTCAAGGGATTGACAGAGGAACCTTGAGGAATAAAGCATGTCCCCATGTGTCCTGGGAATTTGTCACTAAGGCTATTTGGAAAGGGGAACCTCAATTGAGATAAAGCTTCCACCATATTGGTCTGTACACAAGTCTGTGGGGGCACTTCCTTGGTGGATGATTGATCTGTGAGGGCCATCCCACTGTGGGGGTGTCACCCTTGGGCAGGTGGTCCTGGGCTGTATTTAAAAAAAAAAAAAAGCAAGCCGAAAAAACCACAGAGAGCAAGTCAGTAAGCCTTATTTTGCCATGGTCTCTGCTTTAGTTCCTATCTCTAGGTTCTTACCTTGAGTTCCTGTCCTAGCTTCCCTCAATGACAGCTACAACTGTTAGCTGGCATAAACTTAATATACTGAAAAGCAACAATGAAGAGTTGGGTCTCTTAGCTCTAGTGTTAGCATGATGAAGAGAGATTACTAGCTCCCCACGGGACTGGCAACTGCACCAGCAGGTAATACTCACCGAGGAGGCAGGGGCTTCTTCAGATTCTGTCCTCTTTTTGTGAGTACCCATGTGGTGGGACCCCACTGGAGAGCTGTTTGCACGAGGTGTGAGATGGCAGCTCTAGCTCACACGAGGTGTGGCTAGAAATGACCAGCGACTGCAGACTCAACCATTTCCTGGTGCGGGGCTGCTTTTCAACTCCGATTTGCTGCAAAACTTTCAAACATGTCCTTGGCTCCCACATCACCCCCCCCCCTTGCCTTCCCTTCTCTCCACAATTTTCACCAACCAGGAGAGATGTCTTCCCATCTAGCTCTCAGATCTGCTAGTGTCCAGACCAGTTCAGTGCTGCTTTGCTTTTAGAGATGGGATCTCACCGTGTATCCAGGCTTGCCTAGAACTTTCAGTCATCCTGCCTTGGCCTCATGAGCATTGAGAGGATCTGCTCTACCCAGAGCTGCACAGATATTCCTCGGGGGTATGCTACAGAAGAGGAGGTGATGAAGGAGTGAAAACAGACTGCGTCCTGGAAGAACTGGGGAGGCCAGCATCAAGGTGGAGAGCCAGCGGCATGAGCCATGGTGTAGACGCTACAGTGTAGGGGCACCCTGAGGGAATATGGGGTCCCAGAATGCCATGCCACTCACCTAGGGTGCTGGCTCTGTGGCAGGGTGGATGTCTCTCATTACCGTTGCTTTCCTGGTTGCTTTCTTCTTTCTGTGAGCTTTCACTCTGGTGGGGGACAGAGGCTCATTGTTTCTTCCTTTCGTTTTCTGTTTTCCCTGTTATTGAAAATAGATTCTTTTCTCATACTGTATATGGTGGCAGTAGTTTTCCCCTCCTATACTTTTCTCAGTTCCTACCCACCTCCCCTCCCCCCACCCCCCCGCAGATCTACTCCCCTACTCCCTTCTTGTCTCTCATTTGAACAGGCTTCTAAGAGATAACAACCAAAGGTAATAAAAAAAACCGTAATAAAATGTAGTAAGATGAAGAAAACTACCATGTTGGGCATGTCAACCCAACAGGAAGAGAAGAGTTCCAAGGATAGGCACAAGAATCAGAGACCCGCTGGTTTTCACAGTCACGAATTCCATCAAAATACTAAGCCAAAAGCTGATTGATGTGCAGAGACCTGGTTCGGACCTCTGTAGACACTGTGCTTGCTTCTTCAGTCTCTGTGAAGACTTTGCTTTGCTTAGTTGATTCACGGGGCTTTGCTTTCTTTGTGCCCCCTCTACCACCTCTTACAGTCTCCCCGGGGTTCCCTGAGCTGAGGGGAGTTACTTGGTGGAGACATACCATTTATAGCTGTGCTCAAAGGACTCTCTCACCACAAAATATCTGGTTGTGGGTTCCCATCTGCTGCTGGAGGAAGCCTCTGTGATGACGACTGGATAAGGCATTGCTCTATGAGTGCAGTAGAGCATTGTTAGGAGTCATTTTACTGATACTTTATTTGCCAATAGTGTTTTGTTTCACCCTACATTTCTGAGCTGTCTAATCTATGGTTCTTGGTTACCCTAGAAGTGTCAAGTATGAGTTCCTTCTCGTGGAATGAGCCTCAGGTCAAACAAAACATTGGTTGGCTGCTGCCAAAAGTTCTGTGCCACCATTTTTAGGCAGGACAAATTGTAGGTTAAAGATGCTGTGGGTTGTTGTCCACGCTTCTCTTTTGGTAGCCTGCAGAGTACCTTCCTGCACAGAAGACACTAGAGCATAAGGGTGAAGGCTCCACATGGGCACCAGTGCTCCACTCTCCATGTTCAATGAGTTGTGTGGGTGTTGACCTTGTCAATAGGGCCCTGTTGCCAGTGTGTGCAGAGCAACCTTTTGTCTTAGTAACAGCCTAGGTTGTTTGTGGGAATTTCCATGGGACCCCTCCCCCAGCCAACAACTCAATTAAATGCAATTCTAGACCAACCACTGGGTACCTTGTCTCTCAGCAAGAGATGGCCAGTTGAGACTCTGTATCCCCCATTACTAAGAGTCCTCATTGGAACCACCTTCAGAAATACCAGGCACTTTTCCCTGTGCTAGGTTTCCATACCATCTCCATGGCCCCCAATTCCTGCAACCTTTGATCATACTCTCTCCCTCCACCTCATTTCCCCCACTCCCACCCCAACTCACTCCCAGTCTGTCCATAAAATCAATCTATTTCCCCCTCCCAGGGAGATCCATGCATCCCCAGACCCCCCTTCTTTACTTAACCTCTCTGGGTCTATGAATTGTAGCTTGATTATCATTTACTTAATGGTTAATATCCACATATAAGTGAATATATATTTATCTTTCGAGGTCTGGGTTGCCTCACTCAGGATGATTTTTCTAGTTCCATTCATTTGTCTGCAAATTTTATGATATCTTTTGTTTTAACAGCTGATTAATACTCTATTGTGTAAATGTACCACATTTTTCTTTTTCCATTCTTCAGGTGAGGGACATCTAGGTTGTTTCCAGTTTCTAGCTATTATGAATAAAGCCACAATGAACATGGTTGAGCAAATGTCCTTGTGGTAGAATAGAGTGTCCTTTATATATATATCTAAGAGGTATACAACTGGATCTTGAGGTAGATCTGTTCCCAATTTTCTGAGAAGCCTCCACATAGATTTCCATAGTGGTCGTACAAGTTTGGGCTCCCACCAACAATGGAGAAGTGCAATCCTTTCCATGCCAAGCTGGCATGAGCTATCACTTACTGATCTTTGCCATTTTGATGTGTGTAAGATAGAATCTCAATGCAGTTTTGATTCACATTTCTCTGATGGCTAAGAATGTTGAACAGTCATTTGAGTTTCCTCTACTGATAATTCTCTGTTTAGGTCTGTACCCCATTATTTGTATTTTTAATATCTAGTTTCTTGAGTTCTTTATATATTTTGGATATTTGTCATTTATCTGATGTGGAGTTGGTAAAAAAAAATCTTTTCCCATTCTGTAGACTGGTGCTTTGTCCAATTAATGATGTCATTTGTCTTACAGAAGCTTTTCAGTTTCATGGGGTCACATTTATTAATTATATATCTTAGTGCCTGAACTATCAGTGTTCTGTTCAGAAAATTGTCTCCCGACACTAGACTGTTTATATTAAAAGTCATTACATGATTTTTGAACATGTGACAGGGCAGATCTATGAATCAATCACCCTGTGGCCTGGATGAATGACAATGTGTGTGACAATGACCTCTATTCGCCTTCAATTCTGGGCATCGAAGGTAAACCCACACTTATCTTCAGCTTGGATTCTCATATACCCTGGCTCCAGATCCTTACAACCCCTCCTGCTCCATGCCCTTGGTCTGAACCCTTTGCATTTCCCAAACCCCAAGCTGAGGCTCCCATGAAGAAAATGAGGCACAGGGAGACAGCAAGCAGAACTGTGACACCAGAACCATCAATGGCCCCTTTGTCTCTGAATTCCCTGCTGAAGAAGAAAATATGCATGCTCCCTGGCTTTAATAATTTGGGCTCTGTTCTTCCTTCTCTAGGGTGCCTTTGGCCTCACCTCTGTGCTGGAGTTCAACCACTGAATCACTACCCTCCCCATCACAGGCCCTAGCTTTGTCCAGAATCGCAGATGAAAGACTGTTTACTTAGATGCTTTTGCCCATGCTCCACTCTTTCTTACAGAAGTCTCTCCCTCCCAAGACACATAGCCCTCTCTATGCAGGGTGTCTTTGGCAGGCCAGGAATGGGGCACGGAGGACTCTGACACATGGCAACCAAAGGCATTCTTCTGGGAAGGGTCTTATGGACAGCGACAATGTGGGGCAGCACAGAAAGGATGGTTGAGTTTCCTCTCCTGAACTCTACTGGGTGGCCACTCAAATCAGTATAATCATTTACACTGTGAAGGGGCTGGAGACAGGGACCCAGAACATGATTATTGGACCCTTGAGTCACACCCACACTTCCCTCCTAGTTCTATTTTGCTATCCATCCTGGAATTCCACTACACAGATTCAGGGACATGCATCAACACCTAGCTATCCTGCCAAGGGTATTCTGTCTAATAGGGACCAGATGTCAGAGCCTGCGCAGAAGGCAGGCTAGTATAAGGACTGTTCTTTGGGCAAGACATCAAGGGATGATGGGTTGTCAGTAAAAAGAAATGTCACAAAGGGATTTCAGAGCTGTATTCCATGTGACACTGTCACGAAACGCATGTAACATGTGTCCCAAAGACATGGGGCATACAATACCAAGGGTGATTCCTGCCAAGTGACAGTTACATGTCCATGAGAGTTCACTCTTTATGACAATGGACTGCCTGATGGATGATAATTTCATTACAAGTGGCTGTGTACTTGTGACAACAGCAGCTGTGTAGACAGTATCCATGGTTGTTACTCAAACTTCCTACAAAATTTTACCTGCTCTAAACACTAAATAGTACTTGAAAACTGTCCCCAAATGTCCAGTGACCGGAGGGAAAACATATTGGTACAGATGAAAGGGGAGAAAGCCGCTGGTCTTTCAGGAGTATCTTCACAAAGTGTCAGAGAGCACTGAGTGGGGGAGGCCTGACTGGCTGTTCCTTGTGAACCACCCATATTTGAATCAGAAAACTCAGGTCTGGTGCGGATGAGTCTCTAGCAACAGCTCCAGGGAGGGAGATGTTTCAGCTGGACCAGTTCCCTGGGGGAGCAGATTGGGGTTCTCAGTAGCATGTGGGGAGAAAGAAGAGCATCTTGGGGTGAAGATGAGGTAAGGCATTCTCTGACACATGCCATCAGCCTCGCAGAAGAAGAAAACCTGTGGCCTTCTGAGTCTCCTACTCAGTCAGACTGTCAGGACTCAGCCATCATGGTCCTCCAGGACTCCTTCCAGTCCCCTCACAGCCTTGAGGACAAGGTGATCTGTACTTATAGTGGCATTGAGCTGGATGACCCTCTCTACAGTTACAGCAGCTCCTGGGAGGTCACTTGACAGATGAGGTTGATATTATGGCCTTGGGGCCTGGGTGTGTGAGTCAACACTGAAGAGAGAGTGATCCTGGGGCTCAAGGAGGTTTGACATCCAGGAAAAGATAGGAGGTGTTCCCAGTCACAGGTCTAGGACACAGAGCAGGTCAGGTTGTGATGACAGCCAAGTGCTGTGGGATATTATTTAAATATGTGTTACATTTGTTTATGCTGTTTGTTTCAATGATGCAAAGATGAGTTACATTCTTTTATGTTACATTTGTTTAACTCTGTGAAGCTCTGATTTTTTTTTTTTTTTTTTTTTTTTTTTTTGGCCTGTCTAAACCACCTGATTGGTCCAATAAAGAGCTGAATGGCCAATAGTGAGTCGGGAGAAAGGGTAGGCGGTCTGGCAGGCATAAAGAATGAACAGGAGGAGAAATCTAGGGAGGAGAAATCTAGGGAAGATCAAGGAATGAGAGAGGAAGGAGGAGGGCTTCAGTGACCAGCCACACAGCAAGCCACAATGTAAGAAGTTAAGAAATACATACAGAAATAAAGGTAAAAGCCAGAAGCAAAAGATAGTTGGGATAATTCAAGAAAAGCTGGCTAGAAACAAGCCAAGCTAAGGCTGGACATTTATAAGAAAGAATAGCCCTGTGTGATTTATTTGGTAACTGGGTGGCACCCCTTACACACACACACACACACACACAGAGAGAGAGAGAGAGAGAGAGAGAGAGAGAGAGAGAGAGAGAGAGAGGAAGAGAGAGAGAGAGAGAGAGAGAGAGAGAGAGAGAGAGAGAGAGAGAGAGAGAATAAATAGCAAAAAAACAACCAACAGCTGTCAAGCCCCTGAGTCCCTGGGATATGTGTGTCAGGGATCTTTGTCAGAGCTGGGGAGGAGAGACACAGGGAAACAACACATGATGGAGATCCCTAAATGTGCCCCCCAGCAACAAACTCTGTCTCAAGACAGTGATGTCCCCTTGATCAGCCCCAGTATCTAGACCTCAGAAGAGGACCTACTTTAGCCATTCCTGGAGGACCGTTGGGATTATCAGGTGACCACCTTATCAATTTCACTCACTGAGAGCTGGCTTTTTATGTGGCTGTATCTCACAGGATGACCTCCCTCCACCCTGAGGAAGTACACTCATCTCTGATGAGCAGGGAACAGTTACATTTCTGTAGGTCCCGGAATTGGCCCTGGGCTGCCTTCAGGACTGGTCGTTCGGAGTCACTTATGGCCATTAGGGAGTTGAGGTCTGTGCTGGCCCCTGCCTGAATGCAGGAGCTAAGATCAGGTGAGTTGGAGATTAAGAGGAGGGAGAGTAGGTGCTGCAGGGCACTTAGACACACAGTCCCCCTGGAATTGTTACAGCCTTGGGCAGTCATCTGGTATCACAGATTCTGAGCCAGGGATACTGCAAAGAAATGAGTTATGCTGTTCTTGCCCCCACCAACCCTGTCCCTGTCTTCACTCACCTGCCAACAGCAAGGGCAGCAGCAGAAACGACTACTGTTGAAGCCCTTGAACTCCTGTGGTGGCCAGAGAAAGGAGGTCTGAGCAGTTCGAAGTGGGTTCTTGAGGGTAAGAATTCCTAGGCTTTGGTGTCACAGGACTGAGAAGAGGCCCCACCGCAAGCCCAAGAGTGAATACAGAGAGTAATTGGCAACGGAGAAGGAACTCCCCGCCCACAGGTTATCAAAGCTTTCAGTGGCCACGGAGAACACACACTTCCACTTTCCTAATGCAATGGGGACCACACTCAGGTGCTGTAGAATATTTTAAGGCATGTTACATTTGTTTATGCTATGGAACATTTGTTTTAATGATGCAAAGATGTGTTAGATTTTTTTTTATGTTGGATTTGTTTAACTCTGTGAAAATGTGTTACTTTGCGTGTCCAAAACACCTGATGGTCTAATAAAGCTAAACAGCTAATAGACAGGAGAAATGATAAGCAGGGGTGGCAGGCAGAGAGAATAAATAGAAGGAGAAATCTGGGAGGCAGGCAAGTCATCAAGGAGTGGGAGGAGCAGGGTGCAAGGGGCCAGCCACCCAAACACAAAGCCAGCCTTGGAGTACTAGTGAGAGTAAAGTACACAGAAGTAAGAAAGGGGAAAAACCCAGAGAAAAAGGGTAGATGAGATAATTTAAGTTAAGAAAAGCTGGCTCGAAGTAAGCCAAGCTAAGGCCGGGCATTCATAAATAAGGATAAGCCTCTGTGTATTTATTTGGAAGCTGGGTGGTAGGCCTCCCAAAAGAGCAAAGAGCCAAAAGAGTAAAATAAGAAAACCAATAACACTCAGGGAAGAAATCAGACTCTCGGTTCCTGGTTCTCTGACTTTGATTTCCCCCCACTCTAACATCCTTATCCAGCTAGTACACTCTACTTGGTTTGTTGGCAGGGGCTTAATGCCAGGGCTTGTAGAAGCCCCGTCCCTGTGCAGCTAGTTCTCAGAAATAGGAGAGTAGGGATGGTGGACCAAGACTCTGGTGGCCTCTAAGCATGTGGTCCCACATGGCAGGTTCCCAACATGTTTACTGACTCTTCCCAGGCCTGGATCACACAGAGCAGGACCTGAGAGACTGGCAGGTTGGGTGGCAGCATCAGGAAGTCAGGGGGAATCTGAGCTTTGGTGCAGGAGTCCTTTTTTTGTATCTATTCCAAGTCTCATATATCAGAGGTACCACAATCCCCAACCCTCGTTCTGAGGATCTCCCAGTGGAGGAAAGAGAACAGTGTTCTCTACAGAGTCAGGCATGAGTCACCTGGGTCATTCCCCCATCCTCAGTTTTTATTCTGAGTCCTGCCTCCAGCACACTTCTTCTGGCGGTTCACATGACCCTGGGGCCACATCCTTTGAGGACTCACAAGAAGGAGGTCCAGGTGTGGGCTGGGCTCCCTACTGGTCTTTGGGGAGGGGGCAAGACCTCTGTGCATAATCAGATGTCTGTGGTCCTGAGCACTGTGGGATGCAGTGGACCTTGTTCAAGTCCACATGCAGAAGTCTCAGCCTCCAGTCTGTCAGATGTGAGTGTGTGGAACAAGATATCAGAAAAATGTTCAGTTAAGTGAGGTGATTGGCATGGCTCTAATATAAAATGTGGTGCCTTATTAGAAGAGTCACACACACAACAAGCCTTGTGAGGACACAGGACAGGCTACAGATGGATACTGCCCTGTGCACCCCCTGATCTGGAACATCCTGTCTCACGAGTGAGAAAACAAACATGTGGCCTAAACCACTTTTTTGTGATCTCTGTCATTATAGCTGAGTAAACAGGCACCTTGCTGTAGATGAATTTTTCTTTGGGCCACCAGCTCACAAAAGAATGACAGAGATGTATTACTAATTGTGAAAGCTTGGGCTTGTTTCTAACTAGCTCTTGTAACTTAAATTAACTCATTTCTATTAATCTATGTGCTGTTGCATGGCTCATGGCTTTTGACTCTCCTCCTGCATGTCTTGCTTCGTCTGTGTCCAGCTGAAGATTCTGCTTTCTTCTTCTCAGAGTTATCTGTTCTCAGAAGTCCCGCCTAACCCCTTCCTGCCTAGCTAGTGGCCATTCCGCTCTTTATTAAACCAATCACGGTAACACATCTTCACACAATGTAAAGAAATATCCCACAACACCCTGTGTCATCCTGAGGATGCCTTGTGTTCCTACAAGGAACTTCCCATAGTTGTCCCTAGGTCACACGGGGCACCGTGTCAAGGATGGGTATGCGATGGGGTGGTGCACAGGATAGAAGGAGAGTGGGAAGGGGAAGGTTGTGCTGTGAAAGGAAGCATCTGCCACCCTGTGCACCATGACAAAATCTAGACCTGTGGGAAGGTTATATTGCCATGCCACATATGCTGCCTCCTTTCCATGGCAGGGCATGTCCAACATGTGGAGCTAGTTTCCCTAAAGGGTGTGCTGGAGTGTGATAGACTCTGTAAGGATACGTGAGGAGCAAGGCGCACGGAAGCAGGGTCACAGTTCACCGTAGGATGCCCTGTATGGTCATCATATCGGGACTTGTTTGTCCTGTCCCCTATCAGTCCCCTGCTCACCCTGTCACTCTAAAGTAGCCTGTTCACCTCGTCCCCTATCAGTCCCCCAGTTCATCTCTCTCCCTCGGTCCCTGTTCATCTCTCTCCCTCGGTCCCTGTTCATCTGTCTCCCTCCGTCCCTGTTCATCTGTCTCCCTCGGTCCCTGTTCATCTGTCTCCTCGGTCCCTGTTCATCTGTCTCCCTCAGTCCCTGTTCATCTCTCTCCCTCGGTCCCTGTTCATCTGTCTCCTCGGTCCCTGTTCATCTGTCTCCCTCGGTCCCTGTTCATCTCTCTCCCTCAGTCCCCTGCTCACCGTGTCTCCCTTCATTCACATGTTCACTCTGTCACCCCCTCAGTCCCCTGTCCAGTCTGTCTGTCTCTCAGTCATTCTGGGAGCTACACCAGCAATAGGTGTGCCAGAGACCATGAGGGTTTCAAAGCCTGACACATTCCAGAACAATAGGCTGCTGGTCCCAACATGAACATCACATGAGGAGCCCACCAATATGTCAGAGAGGAAGAGCAGAGCAAAGGTGAAAAGTGGCTGAGTCTGGAGTATACAGGAATGCCCCAGTTCAGCCAGCTGCATGGAGCCCACAGGAACCCAAGCCCCACTTCCTGGAACCTGAAATGTTACTTTTTCCTTATATAAAAAGTCTTAGCAGAAGCTGATGTGACAAGTGAAGACCCTGCACTATCCAGTTGGTCTAATCCTGTGTCCTTCCAAGGAGAAATACAGGGAGATGGATGCAAACTCAGGCGAGGCCTCGTGACGCAGAGGCAGAGATAGGATTGCAGGCATAGGCTAAGACGTCAGAAGCCTCCACCAACTGGGAATAAAAGAGGTGGGTCCACTCTTTGGAGGGCCAGCCATGTGACTCACAGATAAGTACCCAGGGAACCTGACTCCTGATTCCCATGGCCCTGAGCCATGCGAGAGACATGTCTGTGTTTCTGATGACTGCTGTAAGTAAGTGTGTCAAGTGTCATCAGAGGCGCTTGGGGACAGATTGTAAAGAAGTTCTCAGAAACCACAGAAGGATAAGGAAGTGGAGCCTTCCCCACAGCCATTTCTCTATGTTGCAATCAGACTTCTCAGTTCCCTTGTACCACCTCACTCGCCTCCTAAATTCCCTCTTTACAGCACCCCTCCTCTCCTTCCAACAGCTGCTCTCAGACGCAGTGCCCGCCGCATACTAAAGTGGCTCAAAGTGACTGGAAACCTAAATGCAGGCCCCAAAAAAGTGCTAATGGGAATATCGCTGGCTCATGGGACACCAGCCTATAAACTAATACTTTGGAGGGTATTATGGAAACCATAGGAAATAAAAGATAAATAGGTAAACAGGATCACATTTTCAAAACTAAACTTCTGTAGCTTTGGTGACAAAGGTTCATAATCCCATCAGCTTCACCAGCTGGGGCAGGAGAATCACACATTCCTGGCCAGCCTGGACTGTAAAGTATCCTCAAAGTCAGCCTAGGCAACCCAGTGAGACTCTCTTTCAAAATAAAAGTTAGAGGCCTGAGGGTGTAAAGGGTACTTACCTGGCAAGTTTGAAGTTCTGCATTCGCATCACACCCAGGAGGCTGGAGGGGTTGTTCAGTGGGTAGGAGCGCTTGCCCCTTGCCACAGGCAGTGACCCTGAGTTCAGTTCCCAGATCCCATGTTAGGCAGCTCACAGCTACCTGCAACTCCCGCCCCAGGAAATCAGAGCCCCTTTTCTGGCCTGTGAGCACCAGCACTCGTTTGGTACACACACACTAAAATAAAATAAAATCTATGAAGAAACAAGTGCCAGTCCTCATAAATATATGTACTCAATACAAACACCTTATGTGGAGTAAGGTGAACGGGTAGCCAATAGGAAAGAATGCGTACACTACAGAAGGAACATAAAAATGACACAAGCCGAAAGGAAAGAACGTTATTAAAATGTGTCTATCAATAGTACTTAAACGTAGCTATACACGGACACAGGCGGGTTAAAAAAACAAACCGCCTTCCTGTTCTCATCAACACTACTGTGTCATGGCACCTTCCCTCTATTATGACACCTGAAGCCGTGAAACTGTACAGATGGCTCAGAGGCTAAGAGTACTGACTGCTCTTCCCGAGGACCTGAGTTCAATTCCCAGAAGCCACATGGCCGCTCTCAGCAACCATTTCAACTCCAGTTCCAGGGGAAACTGATGCTTTCTTCTAACTTACGCGGATATTGCCTGGACCTGGGCAAAAATGTTCATGAAATAAAAATAAACAATTTAAAAAGAAAAGATGAGTGTCCCAAGGATGTGGGGCAAAGAAAATCCTTTTACACTTCTGTGGAGACATAAATTAGTACAGATACTGTGTTAATTAGAATGAAGATTTTTTAAAAAAAAATTAAAACATAGAACATCCTCACTGCAGAACTATTCTTGGAAGTTCTGTCAGCTAAAGGGGATGGAGTCAATGCCTCAATGAGACACCTACACCTCTGCCCATTACAGCCACAAAAGGGAATTAAACCAAATGTCTACTGATGGGGGGCGTTGGAAAAGATGGGGTAATGGATGGAGAAAAGGGGAGGAAAAAGAAGGGGAGGAGGAAAGAAGAGTAGGAGGAGAGGAAGGGGAAGGAGAAGGGGGATGAGGAATAATTATTATTATCTATAATTTATGTTATAATAGTAATGAATTATTGTTACTATTAAAAAACAGACAATCCCACCATTTGCAAAAACAGGTGAACTTAGAGGATGTCACACAAGACAGATCTAGAATGATGGTTGCCACGTTGTGACGGTTTATGTGCAATCTGAAAGGTTCCAGTTCACAGGAAGGACTATAGTAGGCACAGAGTGGCTGGCGCCAGAGTCTGACGGCAAGAGTTGCAGTTTGGCGAAAGTGCGAGTGATCCTCTGCGAGCAGAGGAAGATGCTGGGAATCAGCCACTCCGTAGATGATCACACTGGAGCTGCATATTCCAGAACTGCGCAGTCTACATTTCAAATGCTCTGATGACAAAGCAAAGAGCGGCAAACAGGAGCAGAAAGCAGCCAGTCTCCACAAGAGCACGGCGGTGCCAAGATGTTTGTGAATGAGGGTGTGAGTGAGGCGAGTCTTCTTACAGTGGACATATACTTCAGAGATCACGCTGTCCGCTATAAATAAGCACAATCTCTAGAGGAGTATAAAGAGAGGTGGTGAGTATTCATAAAAAATTCATTCTGCTACTGGGAGGACCAACCTTCAGGAGCCACAGAGTCAGAGGTCTAATCACTCAATTGACCTTTCTAAATGAAGGTGTAAAACTTAATTCTCTAGGAATGGTGAAAAGGGGAACACACACACACACACACACTCACACACACACACCACACACACACACTCACGCACACTCACACACACACCACACATATACACTCACACACACAATCACACACACATCACACACACTCACACACACACACCACACACACACACTCACGCACACTCACACACACACCACACATATACACTCACACACACAATCACACACACATCACACACACTCACACACACACACCACACACACTCACTCACACACCACACACACACACTCACTCACACACCACACACACACACTCACACACACACTCACACACACCACACACACACACTCACACAATCACACACACATCACACACACTCACACACACACTCACACACACCACACACACTCACTCACACACACACTCACACACACTCTCTCACACACACCACACACACTCACACACACTCTCTCACACACACCACACACACACACCACACACACTCTCTCACACACACCACACACACACACCACATACACACCACACACACACACTCACACACCACACACACACACACACCACATACTCACACTCACACACACACCACATACACACACACACTCACACACACACACACACACACATATCCCGAGGGTCTATCTATCATCTGTTTATTTTTCAGACACCCTTTTTATAATCCTCATGCTAAGTTCATTACAAAGGTTTCCCCCAAAACCAGAAGTTACTACATTATCACCATAAAAACATATTTTTTTTCCTGGAACAGGTCAACCCCATTACATTATTACAGGTCAACCCCATTACATTATTAAGCACATCCTTACACATTCTCTTACCAACCCACATTCGGATACACATTCTTCCTTCAGGTTTCTCGGATCAGGGGCCTTTCAGCCATAACTGTTTACATGAGGGGGTAGTTTTATAATTGCCAGGAAACTGGCACTTTCATGTTTTATATTTTAGAGTCCTGTCCAGTTATCTTAACTCTTTTTTTTTTTTTTACATGAAGTCATTATTTAAAGCTTTGTTTTAGCTATGGTTCACACTGAAACCCACAATTATATTTCCCAATATTAAGATTAAAAGAACTTGCACTAGCCTGGCTCCTGGGACTGACTCAGTTGTTTTCCTTAGTCATTAGCATAGGCCACAGTCTTTTCAAGAGAAACTAGTATGTCCTAGCCGTGTGACACTTCCTTGTTCCTGTTTTCTATCCTCTGTGGCCCCTTTTATCATGAGTGGGGACAACACTGTAGCCTACCTTAGCCTGTATTAAATTTTCCACCAACCTGGCCTCTGTTGTAGTCCTTTAAGACATTTGTTAAAGCCCCTTAATCATCAAAATTCTATTTAACACTGCTATTGTGTAGAATAATTACTTCAGTTAAATAGTACAGATTCAGAGGAAATCATCTTCATACTAACCCACAGATCAAAGCGCCCAGTAGAAGGGGAAACTTCCATGAGATAATCACACTATACTAAGGGCCGTGGGGACCCCCCAACACCCATTCACACCATGCCAGATACCAGAGACAAATGGCAGTGGCAAACTTGTAAAGGCGCAACAGAAGCAAGAGACATCCTGGAGCCCAAGCCCTCAGAGCCTTGCCCATCTGAGAGTCAGCCATCAGAGCCGCGGGTTCTGGTGAACCGAACTCCTGAAGCTCAGTTGCCACCTGTTGCTCCTCTGCCATGGCCACCCGCAACATTCTATACCAGGAACTAACTTTCCTCCTCCTCTTCTTCTTCTTCTAATATTTATTTATTATGTATACCATGTTCTTCCTGCATGTATGCCTGTGCACCAGATCTCATTACAGATCGTTGTCAGTCTCCGTATGGTTGCTGGGAATTGAACTCAGGACCTCTGGAAAAGCAGTCAGTGCTCTTAACCTCTGAGACATCTCTCCAGCCCAGGACACTACCTTTCAATCTTAAAATCTTGTTTGTGCATGAATAAAATTATTTATGTTTTGCCTGCCTATATGTCCAGAAAAGGAAATCCAGAAGGTGTGGGCGCTGGGATCCAAGCCTGGGAGCTCTGCAAGAGCAATAAGTGATTTTAAACTTTGAGCCAGTCTCTTTAACCTCTAATTTTTAGTTTTTACATTTACTTTAATAAGCAGAAAAGACTTAGTGAAAATATCCGAAGGCAATTCAAATAATTATCGTAATTATTAAGCAAACACTTGCTGTTGCTAAAGGGCCTCGGGAACAGCTGTTTCTGATTGGCTGGCTGTGCTCACTGATCCCACCCCTGTGGGCATCACGTTTCCCAGCGTGGCATTGGCACACTGAATCTGACCCTTGACCCTGTCCTCCCTCCACAAGCTTGACACACCCTGGTGACATCACCATGTGCATGGAAGACACCTCTGGGAATTGGCACTTTCCATTCACACCAACCATTGGCGGGAGCAGGAACCCCCATTCCTGGTGCTCGGAAGCATCCTGACGCAGCCCCAGATCTTTTCTGACCTTCTCTGTCAACAGCCATTACATCTCTGTTGGCCTGAGCTGGCTGTGGCAGTGCACATCAGCATGTGGCCTGCCAGGTGCATGCCACTGCACCTCCTCCAGGAAGCTGAGTAGCCCTGCCCCTTCATGAAAATCCAGTCACAGCTCTGCATCTCTCAAAGGCCTCTTGTCTCTTACCACGCCCTATAGGTTAGCATCTCCCACTGCCCTCCATCTGCCTCCACTTACTCTAAATCTGCTCTTTCTGTGAGTTCCACACCCTAAGCCGTTGGGCACACTGTTCCCCAGTCCATCTCCTTGAGGCATCTTCCTCCAGCAGACTCAAAGAGGCTTCCTGCTCTCATCCTGAGAGCGTTCCAAGCATCACTCATGTCACCAACTCCTCTCCTGTGTCAGCTGTCTGTACACTCACATCTCCAGTTGACATAATAATTCATTGCATATTTTTATTCCTGCTCTCATCTTTACATCAGTCAATCTTTGGTAATGGAATGGAATAGTTCTGTGTCCTAAGGTATGCCTGGCACCCAGGAAAATGGTCCACATGTAGTAATAGTCACTTCTGCACATGGTCTGAGGTGCATGGCAAACACACGCCTACCCAGAGTAACATGTGGCTAGAGGTTGAGGTGCTCAGGTAAGGGGAAGGAGGGAAAGCTTGGGGAAGGGCTTTGAGGTGTGGAGACTCATAAATACACAATTTTCAACGTAGGGGGAGGGGAAATTCATGATGCAGTCATCAGGGAACATGGGGAAGACAGTCCAGCAGCACACAGACTGTGCAAGGCCCCACAGCAGGCTGTGATGTCTGCCCATCTCCATCTATGGTGAGGGGTCAGGATTGTTCAGGAAGTAGTGGCAGAAGTGGGCAATGGTTGCATCAGGAACCTCATTCTTGAGGGCCAGAATAAAAAAACATGGACATCGTGGATGAGGGGAATTCTGTGACTAGGAATATTTGAGGACCAGAGATGATCAAAATTCAGGTAGAAAAAAGGGGTAAGGCTGGTCCAAAGTGAGGAGAGAGAGAGAGAGAGAGAGAGAGAGAGAGAGAGAGAGAGAGAGAGAGAGAGAGAGACCAATTGGTGTTTCACGGCATGAAGAAGGGTGGAGAGAGCTCATGGTAGAGATCCACCCCTGGATCTGGGTACAGATGAGACCAGGAGCATCATGGTGCTTGGTGAGTGCTGTTCTTTAGTTACAGTTATGGGAATAAAGGCTGGAGAAGGGGTGGGGGTAAGTGGTCCTGGGTGAGGGTTCCAAGTGAGTGGAGTCCCAAGGCAAGGGACCACGTGGGAGAGCATAGCAGGTTCCATAGCAGGTGAAGGTGACCGAGGCAGGAGAGAATAACATGCCAGGCAGATAGAGCTTAAATGGGGAGTTTATTTAGAAAGGGGAGTGAGGGGGAAGGGAAGAGACATAGAGGCACCAGGAACAGAAGAAGAGAGAAGGGGGAGGGGGGAAAGAGGAGGGGTAGCTGGTAGCCAGTGGAAAGCAGGAGAGAGCAAAAGAGAGAAAGCAAAAGAGAGGGGGGTGTGGTGCTTGTTTTAAAAGGGAAACTGAGTCCCCTACGCAGTGATGTAGCAATGACATGACCATGCGTGTCACACCTATTGTTAGGGGGTGGGGTCAGCATGTCCCGCCTATTGTTAGGGTGCTGGTTTCCAACATTCCCACCTCTTATTATTATTAAAAAGGTGTGGGGTTGGGTGTGGCAGGTTAGGGAATAAGGATGTCGAGTTCCCAAGACTGCTTCCTGCTGACTTGGGGGCATTGATCATCTTTGGGGGATCTGAGAAAGCTGGGGTGCTGCCACGTCCTGGTAGCTGGCAGTCCTGACAGTATGGAACTCTGGTGTCTCTTTGAGACCTGGCAAGATGTTGGCAGAGCAGAGGACAAAGTTAAGTTTAGAAAAAAAAATTTTTCTTAGGTCCTGGTACTTGAGGGGAGAATTGTAAGATGAGGGAGGGGTTTCGGGGGTGAGGGAAGGGAGTCCTGGGGCCAGGAAAAGGTTGAGTAAATTTGAGTGATATTTTATTTGGAGTGAATATGACCTATTTGGATGGGTCCAATTCAGCTCCCTGGAACTTACAAGAATCCTTTGAGTTTGTGAAAACATAAACATTAGGCACATTAGCAGCATACTCATGTTAGAAACAATTCGGCTGAAAGAATTAATATTTATGTAACTGACAGATCTTTAGCACACTAATTTTGAGCTTAAGGTGGCATAGTATGGTGTATAGTACTCTGTTAGAATTGGATTAGTAGCTCATTGAAACTTTGTTGATTAATGGGAAGACTAATAACAGTAGCAACCTTAAAATACCCATTTCTGAAATCTGTTTTGTAACAATTGGAGCCTTGGCTACTGCTCTAAGCTGACAAAGCATCAGAGTTCTTGAGAAGGGTAACATTTTACCTGAATGATTAGGAAAGTAACAGAGACTCACTAGCTTGCAGCATGGACAGCCAGCCCATAATGATCTGAGTAACTTAGCAATGAGCTGGCCATGCATGTCCTGCCCATCGTCAGGGGGCAAGGGCTTAGGATGGGGTTGGACAGCTGACCTGTGGCCGTGCTGAGCCAGGCAGGTCACTCTGTGGTCATTACAAGAAAAGTGCAAAAGGAAGTGAGACAAGTATAGCGACCCACTCCACTCACCCGAGACACGAACTGGCAGCCATGTCTGCAGAGTCCCTGTGCACTGCTGCCCTTATCTTCTTCCTACAAGATCTCACTCTGAGTGAAGAGACCAGGGGCACTCCGGCAGCCACCTCCCCTGGGTCCTAATCAAAGGCTGGATGGGTAACTGAGGGGGAGACCAGCGCTATCCCAAGACACCCTTGTTTGAAACCAATGTCTTCCTATATGAGTGACAGCGGGGGTCGGCACCTGTGGAGTTCTCACTGCCTACAATTCTGTCACCTCTCCCCACACCCCAGACCATTTCTACTACCCCAGTACTGAGACTCTGGTACTAGCATCTTCCCCCATGCATCCTCCCTCTCTGGGGGCAGCACTCACCTGAGGATTATGAGGCACAGCCCAAGAAGCAGAACTTTAACAGCTGCCTCTACCACAGCCACCAGCACCACCTCTGCCATCAGCCCTGATTTCCCTGCAGAAACGTGGTCAGTGCTCGCTAGCATCATGGGCTAACCACCGCCCAAAGACCTTCCTCTCTCAGTAGGATCCTCTAAATGCCCCCTCATCCCTGAACTTAAGACCATATGAGTACCCCACCCTACATGCTGACTATCCAGAGCTCTGAACCTCAAGCACACGGATGTGAACAAATGTGAGGCAAAGAAGGGCTCATGCTCTTCCTTTGCTATTCAGTGACCAAGAACCCTGGATCCTTCCAAAGAATGGGTGGTCCCGTTACCTGTCACTTGACACTCACGCTTTAAGAACAGGCTCAGAGAAATGTGCTGAGATCCGAGGGCATTCTGTGCAGAGCAGGTGAATTTTCCTTCATATCCCAGGTGCATTTGAGGTAGCTCTATCAACCCAGGAATTGGGGACTGCATGGAACTCAGAATGAGGTTCTCATGGGTCCAGCTCAGACTGGCAGGAGGGTTACTATCAACCATACAGACCATACGAAGGAACTCTCCTTCCAATACAGTCAGTGTTGAGCCATTTCTCATAGCTGTGATTGCTGGAGAGGAAGAAACACGGAGTCATTAGTGACAACGAAGTCAAGAGAAGGAAGAAGATCACAGAAGGAGATGAGTAATGATTCGGTGTACTCATGGAGGGACACTCCCTCAGCCTAGTCACATGGGGAAGGGCCTAGACCCTGACCCAAATGATATGGCAGACTTAGAAGACTCCCCATGGAAGGACTCACCCTCCCTGGGGAGCAGAAAGAGGATGGGATGGGGGTTGGTGGAGGGAGCAGGGGAAGATAGGAGGGTGCAGGAACTGGGATTGACATGTAAAACAAGGATGTTTCAAATTAAAATAAAAAATACTTAATACATATAAAAAATAAACAAATACTGTTCCCCCCAAAAAAGATTAGGTGTACAGATGCAGGCAGCTCCTCTGATGAGTCCCACCCCCATTCTCTCTTTGTGTGTGTATGTGTGTGTCTCTGTGCGTGTGTCTGTGTGTGTCTCTGTGTGTGTGTGTGTGTGTGTGTGTGTGTGTGATTTTTTTCACTGTTTATGTAACTTGTGGAAGGGACTTTGTGATTCTTTTAACTTTTTGAGTTTCCAAGATCTCATAAATTACAGTAGCTCCATCAGTCATGAACATCCCTTCTCCCTCCAGGAATTGTTCTGGTTTGGAAGAAATGTCAGCTCATAGGCACCCTATATCTTGTGGTCCAAGAGTGCTTGTTGGAGGAAGGATATCTGTCTACTTATACCCAAAGTCATGAGGAAGGGTCAAGCTTGAAGCCAGAACATGATGAAGGTAGAAGAGGACCCCAGAAAGGACAGAGAATGCAAAACTGCACAAGGCTAGAATCATCAAAAGAACACAGGAAGGATCCTCAGGTTGAATGGAGAAAGTGGATAAGGTCAGGGTGGCAGACACCTCCAGTCAGTCTGAGAGAGAGAGAGAGAATAAACTCACATGTGGAAATCATAACATGTTTGGGTAGGTCAATGTGACTATAGAAAATTCCTTCTGCTTTCAACAAACTTCTGAACTTCATGGAAATAGGATAGTGTGAAGTACATTTATAATTCATTTCAAAAGGAATTGGTAATTTCTCTATCTTGGAAAGAGTGTTCAAGACTAAATAATAAAAAGCGAACTACATAAAGAGTATTCATAGTAGTTCCAGGAATGAAAGAACAGTGACTGATGTGTGCATGGTGGTACACACAGACCTGAAATCCCACCTCTCAGAGAATCACAGCTCAAGGCCAGCCTTGGATATTGTGTACTTATATCTGCTCTCAAAAAATGTATGAACTATACCATTAAGGTATGACGTTCACACAGGAGAAATGCCCTGGGAACATCGTGGAAGAAGGGAAGGGAAGATGTAAGAGCAGGCAGACAGAGAAAATGCAGTGAATCAGTCTCCTGGATATAACATGCTTGTTTCACCCATGAACTGTGGCTACCCGAACAGGACCTGCACTAGATAGCGCCCATCAACCTTAGAGTTATGGATGGGGGGCGGGGCTTAAGCAGTTCTACCCATCTCTGAGAAGTTATTGTTGCTGACAAGGAGTGGGGAGAAAATCAAAGTCCTCAGTAATGTAGCCACTGGTAAAGTCCTTTCTCAGATAAGTAACCCCATCCACTGCTCATCCTGCTAACCCTGATTAAATGCAGTGGGCCACAAACAAAAGACATGGAAGCAGGAGGGAGGAAGAGATAAGGGAGGAAGGGCAATAGCAAAGTATATATGTGTATGTGTGTATAAAACTGTGAAAGACCAAATACATTTCTAAAAGACATACAGATATTTCCATTGTTCTCTATTGGTAAAGTTACCAATGGGAGGTGAGGCTCTAAAACGCACAACTTATCATCCCACAGTGCTCAAAATATAATCTTGATGGAAAATATCGTACCACTTCTCTCAAAATTTGGATTTATTCCGCAGATGAACACACATTTGTGAGCATAGATTTACCCGTGCATTTCTGTTGAAAGAATGAAATTAGTACCTCGGCTGCCTATTAATACAGGGATCCCTAGAGTCAGAATCCATCCACATATGATTGACCAAAGACTTGGAGACCAAAAACCATCTGAGCTGTTAACATTTAGTTCCCTGTCAGACCTTCAGGTACACAAATACAGTCTCAACTCCCTCAGCCTGTGTGGACACTGACCACACCTTGAGAGGTGACTGAAGTTCAGGGGACAGATCACCATGTGTTCTGAATATACACACTTGTGGAAGAGTCTCTTCCCCAATCACTCAAATCAAAGCTAAGAGGAAGGAAGAGCTGAAGCTGGAGGCTGGTCCAAAAGATGTATGAGAAGAACATGTTATGACCGTTGGCTATGTTAGGGTTGACCTGTGCTATTGTGGTCAAGGTCACTCCTTGGGAGTGAGGGTATTTGGGGACAGATGCTCACATGGCCAATAAAGTTTCAGCTGGGGAGAAAACACTGTCTCCCTGTGAGGGGTTGCTATATCCAGAGTAAATCTAGTATGGGGAAGGACAGGATTTGCCCTTTAATGAACAGGTCTTGCATCCCCCATCCAGAATTTCTTCTCTTACCTGAACCAACCCCTTTGTAGATAGTCATGGTTACATTCTTTGGAGCATCTGAGAAAGGATGACACAGTAGACTCATTAGAGAAAAGTCAAGGTGGACACCCTTCCTCTGACCTCAGTAGCTGCCTAGGTGAGGACAGTGTGGTTCCATCTGGTTCCATCAGGTTCTGATCTGCCCACAACCATATTCAGTGTTTCAGTATAAGACCTTAATTTCATCCCCACTGTCCCTTTGGGTATCTATCCATCAAAGACACGGTGTCCCACCCTAGACTCACATAACACATTGAGACAGATGGTCATTCTTGTGGTCACACCAGATCCAGGCAGGGTCACCTGACAAGTGAGGTCGGTGCCATGGTCCCAGGGCTGGGGGATGACAGTCAGCACTGAGGAACCAGTGGTGTTGGTGCTCAAGACTGACACAGAGGCACCAGTCCAGGAGAAGGTGGGGGACCCACAGGCCCAAGGCGCAGAGCAGGTCAGGTTGCTGGGACGGCCCGCCTCCAGGGTCTTCGGGATAAGGATGCGGGGGGTTTCAGTGAGGGCTGGAGAGGAGAGGGGAGAATTGGAGGCAAGCCCGGCTCTGACCCAGCTCCTCCCCTGAGCCCTGATGCTCAGACCCAGCTATCCCAAGCCTGCCCTGTGGCACCCATGATGGCTTCTCTGCAAGTCATGTCTGACCTGTCACATGCAGAGTCATCTTGTTCAAGAGATAATTTAACTTCAGTTGTCCTCTCTCCAGGCGAAAGAAGTAAGACCCGACATCCTCCTTCCTGGTCTCTCTGATGTCCAGGGAGCAGTCATTCCTCCCTGGGTGTCCCAGCAGGGAGAATCGGCCCTGGGTCTCCTTCAGTACTGGCCGCTGTGGGTTATTTGTGGCCACTGGAGAATCAAGCTCTCTGTTTCCTCCATCCCAGAACCAGTATCCATGAATGGGGTCTGAGTCAGTCCATTTCTCCTTGGGGTAGGAGAACTTACAGGGTATCAGGACACACAGGCCTTCTTGCACCACTATCTTCCTTTTCACACTCAGAGTGTAACCCTTCAGGGCGTCATCTCCACCCTCTACCCCCTTCACGCCCCAGAGCAGCAGCAACAGCAGCAGCATGTCCAGCTGGGCCACCAGAAGTCTGTCTCTCTGGGCTCTTCTCTGAGGAACTAAGAGGTGCAAGGCCTGGAGGAAGCCCCACCCGAAGCAGGGGTGAGGCCAGGACAGTGGCTGCCTTGGGAGGAGGAGCTTCACACCCAGCACTGTCAGGACCCTTGATACTTAAAGGTCAGCCACCCACCACCCAGGTCCACTTCTGGGACCCTAAGAACAGCATGCACCATACTTGACTCTACCTCCCTTCCTCCCTTACCCCTGTCATCATCTTTCCCACTGGGTGATACTTTCTGCATAGAGAAAAATGGGTCCCCTTTGATCATATCTAAGAGCTTTCCTTGAGACTGTGTGAAGAGGGAGTGTGAAGGAGACAAGCATTGGGGTGGACTGCCCGGAGTTTTCTGACTGCTCAGAGGAGGAACAACGAGACTCTGGAGACATGATACTGGACAATATAGGAACAGAAACAGACATCTCTGGTACTTCGTTCTCAGAGGACCTGGCAAGGAGACTCCCAAGCTGGAACTGAGGCATGCTGGCATGTAGCGGAGATGACTCCTGCTGCTATTGGGGGAAACATTTCCCAACTGTGAAGGCAATGGCTGTGGGCTGCAGAAAACAGATCAGCAGGCTTAGGGCATCTCCTTCAGTGGACTCATTGCAAATTCTCCATGATGTTCAAAATTCTCTAGACATTTTTTTCTAATTATATACCATAAACATTACATTTAGCTTCTCAATTTGTAGCTGTCTCTGCATTCATGTGTCTGAAATTTTTCTTCCTTTTTCTTTTCCTTCCTTCCTTTCTTCCTTCCTTCCTCTATCCCTCCCTCCTTTACTTCCTTCCTTCCTCTCTTTCTTTCTTGTTTTTTTTTTTTTTTTTTTAGACAGGGTATCACTGTGTTACAACCTTGGCTGTCCTGAAATTTGCTTTGTAGACCACGATGGCTTTGAACTCACTGAGACCCACCTGCCTCTGCCTCCTGAGTGCCGGGATTAAAGGCGTGCGCCACTACCCCCAGCTTCTGAAAGTTTCACTGAAATTTTGTCTACAATTTCTGGGAATGAATAGATAATTTTTGGACAATTGGTGCCTTGATTATACTGTTTTTCATTTCCTAGATGTGGTATGCACACACATGGTATCACAATGGAATAATATTGGTTCCCTCGAATTCCTTTGTTTCAGCAATTCTTCTTAGGTTCATAAAGCTGTTTTTTATCCTTCAAAAATTTTCCTCACCTTGAGACCCTGGAAAACTCAGTTCCAAATGAGATGTCACTATCAAGCCTCACCCCTCAGGAATCTATGCAGAAGATTAGAAAGTTTGGGAGAGTCGGAGGGGACGGATGACACCGAGGAAACATGGCCTTCCAAACAGAGCAGGACTGATGGACACATGAATTCAGAGGCTGAAGCAGCCTGTGCAGATACAAAGCCAGACGGGACCCAGGGCTGAGAGGGAGAGTGGACCCGAGCTCCCATCCCTAACCAACAAGTTATCTCCAATTGACAGCCCCTCGCAAAGGAAAATTGTGTTTCACTCAATCATTTAAGGGCAGGCCAACAGCAGACAGCAAACTCAAAATGAACTCAGTGGTATTTTGGGAGATTTTTTTTTTTTTTTTTTTTTTGTCATCTCATATTGCTTTGTTTTGGGCATTTTTTAATTATTATTTTACTTGTATATTGTGGTTTCCAATTTTGTGTTTTTGTGGGTTTTATTGGTATTTTTAGTGTGTGTGGATTTCTCTTTTTCTTTCTTCCTTTTTTTTAATCTTGTTTCTTTCTTTCTTTTCTAATGCCCTGCTCGTTTTCTAAACAGAGAGAGAGAGAGAAAGAAGGCTTGAAGATGGATGGATGGGGAGGTGGACAGGGTCTTCGTAGATAGGAGGGAGGAGAAACTGGTCCAAATATCAATAAAAATGTTTCCGCCCTGTAACAGTAAAATGATGTCTTAGTCAGTCTTGTGTTGCTGTGAAGAGACACCGTGACCACACCAGTTCTCATAAGGGAAAACATGTCATTGGGGCTGGCTTATAGGTCAGAGGTTTGGTTCATTATCATCACAGCACGAAACATAGTGGCATGTATTGAAACTCTTCGCGTTGGGATAAAAGTTTTGCCACTACAATTGATTCATAATTTATCAATTATAATAATAAAATACTGATGAGTAATTTTACTTTCTTGCCTTCCAAGTCTAATGTGAACAGAAGGATTTTTTAGATTCTGGTTTCACTTTCCATTTCCCATTATCCTACCCAGTTTTCGAATTTTAGGTGTTTAAAAAGAGGGGGGAAAGATTCAGTATAAAAACATGGGAAAAGATATTTTTCAGATTATGTAATATTGATTTATCTTAAATGTGCATTGGTACATACAAGTATTATACATCTTCTGCCAACTTGGGTCAGTACCAAGCTTTCACTGTGACTTCGCACTTGACTTCCTCAGTTGTACTGAGTGGAAGTGGGTTGATTGTAATCTCCTACTGAGTGAGTTTATGAACTCTGTGCCACACCCACACTAGCATTTGGGATTATAAAGATGTATAAGTATTTATCTATCCATTCATTATTTCCAGCCATTCTGGTTGGTATCTGTTAGCATCTCATCTAGTTTTCATTTGTAATTCCTTAACAGCAGACTATGTTAAATATATTTGCTGGCCAGGCCAGCTCCCTGAAATCCAGGTAAATCATCCCCTACCCCTCTCGTGCCTGCCCAGCATAAAGCCTAACCCCAGCCACTCCTCCTCTCCTCAGCACCATATGCTAGCCCACACCTTTGGCAGAAGTCTCCTGCGCCGTCAGAGTCCAGCATCCGTCTACACTAATCCCTGAATATTCCAACATAGCTGAAACAAAAAAAAAGCCTTAAAACAAGCTTTATGAATACGTTGGAGAACCTTAACGGGGAGATGAACAAACCCTTTAAAGATATCAAGGAAAGGACAATGAAAAAATTGGAGGAATCAACAAATCTCTTGAAGAATGTCAAGAAAGCCTAGAAAAAAAAAGTTGAAAAAACAGTTGAAGGAAACTAATAAAACTGTTCAAGACCTGAAAATGAAAACACAAGCAAAATCATAATAATATTAATTAACTAAAACAAACAAACAAAAAGCAAAACACAATCTGAGGAAATTCTGGAAATCTAAGCAAGGGAGCAGAAACTACAGACCCAAACATCACCAACAGAATACAAAAGATAAAAGAGAAAACCTCACGCTATGAAGACATGATAAAAAAAAAAAAAGTAAGATGTAAAAAATTCCTGACACAAAACATCCAGAAAACTTGGGACACTATGAAAAGGTCAAACCTAAGAATAATAATAATAGAAGATTCACAGCTCAAAGGCACAGGAAATATTTTTAACAAAATCATAGAAGAAAACTTTCATAATCTAAAGAAGGACATGCCCATAAAGGCACAAGAAGCTTATGGAATACCAAATAGATATACCAGAAAAGAAAAATCATATTCTCAACATGCATTGGCATAGAATATATATTACCATTTCAAAACATAGGAAAGAGGACATAATGAGGAAATACAGGACCAAAGCAAGACTGGAAACCAGCTGAGCAAACTCCAAACTCTGCATCTCCCAAGTCTGATGTGAAAACATTTCTTATCACCATCTTCCAGCTTTCTTACTGAAGCTCACTTCTCTCCACCCTCTCAGCAGCTTTCCTTAGCAGGTTTCCCATGACTCTGGCATCGCCAGTATCTTGCAGTCTCCAGTGAAGTTCTGGCTTCACCTTTACAGCTTCAGGCAAAGACCTCTTCAGGCCCCCATGCAGAAACACTCCTGACACAGAGCTGGCCTCAAGCAGTTTCCTTAATCCAAAAGGGAAATTTCACAACCCCTACCAAGTTCTGCTCATTTCTGGGTCTAGAAAATGGCCCCCTTGTTCAAATGTTCCCACCAGCTCTCTGGTTTTGATGGCTTCCTTCACTACCTTAGCTTGGCTGTCTTAGAACTCGCTCTATAGAGCAGGCAGGCCTCAAACTCAGAGATCCACCTGCTTCTGCCTCCCAGGTGCTAGTAGGTGTGGGGTAAACCACCATTGCCAGCCACAAGCTTTTCTTTAATTTCTTTTAAAAAGTTGGAAACTGGTTAGACCGGTGCAGAGCGCGTCGGCCCCGGCAAACCTCACAGTGTGTCCTCGCATAGAGAAGCTGGACAGCTTCCATAGAGGCCAGGAGCAGTGATAGCCATCCTGAGCATGAGCGACAGCTAAGAGCAGAACTACGGCAAAAGGGAATCCTGTTCTGCTTCCAGAAGTGGAATTGCTCATGGATCAGCGAAATCTGCACAGCACACCCCTGCAAGGTCATGCTCCAAGGAAGATTCAAGACGTTCTAGATCAAAATCAAGGTCAAGATCTGAATCTAGGTCTAGATCCAGAAGTTCTAGAAGGCATTACACAAGGTCACGATCATGATCTCGCTCCCATAGACGATCCCGGAGCAAGTCTTACAGCCGAGATTCTCGAAGACTGCATAGCCACAGACATTCTCCCACGTCTACTCGAAGGCGTCTTGTTGGAAATCAGGCAAATCCTGATCCCGACTGTTATCTTGGAGTGTTTGGGTTGAGCTTGTGCACCACAAAAAGAGATCTAAGAGAGGTGTTCTCTAAATATGTCCCCATTGCTGATGTGTCTATTGTATATGACCAGCAGTCTAGACATTCAAGAGGATTTGCCTTTGTATATTTTGAAAATGTAGATGATGCCAAGGAAGCTAAAGAACGTGCCAATGGAATGGAGCTTGATGGACGTCGAATTGATTTCTCCATAGCAAAAAGGCCCCATACCCCAACACCAGGGATTTACATAGGCAGTCATGCCGCCTTGATTATTATGACAGAGGATATGATCCGGGTTATGATGATCAGGACTATTACAGCAGATCATACAGAGGAGGTGGTAGAGGAGAAGGTGGATGGAGAGCTGCTCAAGACAGGGATCAAATTTACGGAAGGTGCTCACCTTCTCC